GCTCGAGCCGCTGCTTCATGGTCCATCTATCTGAACAGAAGACGAAAGGGGCTGGGGACAGGGCCCTGCTCTCCCCATTCCTGCTTCTAAGGAGGCCGGAGCCTGCCCGAGGGGATGCCCTTCGCGGGAGGCCCAAGTCATCCCACTTTCCATTCCCCTGCCCCACCAAGGCCTGGAATGGGGCAGCTGAGGCAAGCAGGGACTTTACCCCAGGGTGTCAGCATGGAGAACGTGTGGGATGCTTGCTCCCCTTGGGTGTCTTCTGGCTTGCCTGCCCCGGGTCCCATCACGCCCCGCCCTGCTACCTGGGCTGGGATGCCAAGGGCAATCACCATGGTACCCCTCTCCTGGGCCCCTCCTTCCTCTGCCATGGCATCCTCCCATTGGAACTTGGAGCATTGGCTGGACTCTCTGGGGCCATGAGTTACCTTCTCCCGATGCCCCAGGCCCCCAGGTCCCAAGACATAACTGGGCCTGGCACTTTAAGGCAGAGCTGGTATCATAGCGACCTGTGCTCAGGCCCAATCCCTAGGGGGCTCAGGTAGAGACTGGGGACCTGGGGCTGGGCAGAGAGAGCCACCCCGAACACACAAGGAGGCAAGTAGAGGGCCAGTGACAACAAGAAGCACCCAGAGACACCCCAAGGTGGAGGAGGCGCCAGACAGAGCCTTGCTCCAAGCAATAACCCGATGTGATGGGGCTCACCGAGGCAAGTGCCCTCGCCGGGACTCAGTTTCCTCCTCTGTGAAAATGAGGTTGAACAAGAGGATCTGGAAACATTGGCTGCTTAGTCTCAGACCCTCTGTGGACAGAGAGGCTCGGGCCATCGCTAGGACGAAGGAGTCTGAAAGGTAGGCATGCTCCTGCTGGCGGCGTCTTTACTGCTGGCCTCCATCGAAGGCTGAGAGGGATGAAGCCAGAGCTAAGCCTCTGGAGTGGGGGTGTAGCCTGGGCCGGTCATAGGCTGACAGGCTGATGGGGGTCCGTCCAGCAGTCAGTCAGTCAGGGGAGCATTCATTAAGTGCTTTGTGTGAGCCAGGCACCATCCACAAAGAAAGGCAGAATCAGTGCCTGCCCTCAAGGAGCTCCCATCCTAGTGGGATTACAAGATCCACACAGAGCAGTCTCAGAAGGAACGGCAGGCACCAGCAGCTGGGGGGACACCAGGAAAGGCCTGTGGCAGAAGGCAGGAAGGAAAGCTGGGAGGCAGAGGGGAGGCCGGAGGGCATCCTGGGCACGGGAGAACAGCAACGCCCAGGTACACAGACAGATGGAGTGCGGACGGTGGGGCTGGATCAGAGAGGAGGCAGAGAGAAGATGCGGAAAGACAGGAAAGGGCCAGGTGACAGAGAGCTCAGGCCCAGAGTCAGGAAGACCCGAATTCAAATCTGGCCTCAGACGCTTGCTGGCTGTGTGACTCTGGACAGTCACTTACCCGTTTGCCGTAGCTTCCTCATCTGTAAAATAGGGATAACACCCCCTCCCTCCCAGGGTTGTGGTGAGGCTCAAGGAGATATTTGTGTTTACAAGTATCTTATACATATATAAATACTTATTCCCTTCCTTTATTCTTTAAATGCCAGAGAGGTTTATATTTGATCCTGGAGACAACAGGGAGCCCCCTGGGTGCCTGAGTGGAAGTCAGGGGTGCACAGAGGGGTGTCTGTCTCCTCCATCCCTTCCCTGCCATGCCCTTCCTCCCCTGGGTGCGGCCCAGCAAGGCTCCTGAGACTCCTCCAAGGGACTGTCCCCTCTGCTGAACCCCTGTCATACACACCCTCCTCTGACCATCTTTGTTTGGGATCACAGGAATGGCGTGGTGTAAATACCACTGGAATTAGAATCACAGGACGTAGGTTTGAATCCCATCTCTGCTGCCCCTGTTGGCCATGTGACCTTGGGCAAGTCACCTACCCTCTTGGTTTCCCGTCCATAAAACAAAGGGGATGGCCAGATGATTTCCAAGGGCCCTTTTGGCTCTTGACACCCCTTCTGTGCTTCTGTATTCATGCTGGTCATTCACCATGGAAGGTCTTCTCCCATCCTGTCCCTCCCCCACCACCATATTCTCACCATCATTCAAGGCCTTCTTCCAGAGAAGGCTTCACCAGAACTCAGGAGGGCTGTTTGCTCCTGGGGCATGTCACCCAGATGGCTTCTCTTGTCTTACTTATCTCTTATTGGAAATGCCTTTCTCCTCAACTAGACTATAAACCCCTGGAAGGCAGGGCCCCACTCTTACTCAGTCTTATATTCCCATCACACCCAACCTTGAGCTTAGCCTAAGGAGTCCTCCATAAACTGTTGACAAGGATGGGTGATCCAATTCAGGTCACCAAATATGTGACAAGCACCTACTATGTACAGGGCCTCGTGCGGGGGACTGGAGTGGGGGGAATGAGGCAAAATTTAAATAAGGCAAGTTATTTGCCTTCAAAGGGATTCTAGTCTAGATAGGCCAGTGAGATCGACAAGATAACCACAATACACAGTACCACACATGCTCAGTGTTAGGGAGAGGCAAAGAGTTGTGGGGGGCCCCAGGAGAAAAGTGTTTACCAACTGGGCCAATGAGGGAAGACTTACTGGAGGAGGTGGCATTTGGGCTGAGCTTTATAGGGAGAGGACATTAAGATATGTGTAACAGCCTGGGCAGAAGCAGGAAGGTAGAAAGAAGACTTCCATCAGATTGTAAGCTCCTGGAGGGCAGGGACTATCTTTTTGTATCCCCAGCACTTAGCACAGTGCCTGGCACAAAGTAGGCGCTTATTAAATGTCTGTTGACTGACTTCACTTCTATGTGTCCCAGCTCTACCCTGGCATTAAAGACACCAGTAGAGAGATTGTCCTTTACTGAGGAGTCTTCCTTCCTTAGGGAGATGCTGAGGTCTGAAGAATGGAGATGGGGGAGTGAGAAGGAGGCAGTCAGATGGCCTCAGTCTCATCAGTGAAGTAGGAGGCTAAGTCAACTGGCAAGGGCTGGAAGAGAGAAGCAAGGGATTGGCACGGTTATGTGGGGAAGGGGACCTAGCAAGTTTGGCACATGGAGTCTCTGCGTGTTGGGGGCCCGAGTTCAGGTCTCTGCCATGTGACCTCAGTCTATCCACCTGAAAAATGAGGTGATCTCCAAGGTCCCAGAGTGGATGATTCTATAGTTCTCTAATCCTCTACAGACAGTGCCTGGCAACTGAACCTCCTCACGGGGTCCTGGCCTGGCTCTCTAGGGCATCCGTTAAGTGTTGACTACTAGACCTGTTTAGTGCTCTGTGTTAATGAGGCTTATAGATGTGAAATACACTGCCAATCCACCTCATGGGCACAGGGCTTGGAGGCAGGCTGGAAGGACACTCCTGGGCATCCCCGTTTTGTTCCATGGAGGAATCACGGACAGAGCAACACCAAGATCCGCTGCCCTTCTGCCCCCACCCTGTTTGGGAAGAAAAAACTAGAGAAAGGACCAGAGACTAGCACATGACTCATCCCAGGCAGGCTGCCAGTGAAAGAATTGGGACTAGAACCCGGGACTCCCAATTCTCCAATCCAGTGCCCCGGCCATGGCACCAATTCATTTCACCACTCCTGTAACTGCTCTCTTCTCCCAGGTCCCTCCTCCTTTTCCCTCTCCTCTCCTCCCAATCCGAGTTTCCCTTCCCCATTTTACTCTGGGGAGCTGCATCAATCTACCCATTCTCTTTCCCATCCCTGGATATTCTCGATGGGGCAAAAGACAGTATGGAAGCTGAGAAGATGGACCCACATCACCACCCAGTGGCCATTGTGGTCACTGCATCCTGACCTTGACCTGGAAAGCCAGATGTGGCGGGGTGGCAGCTAACATTTTTTTATTTTGGTGAGGCAGTTGGGGTTAAGTGACTTACCCAGAATCACACAGCTATTGAATGTTATGTGTCTGAGGCTGGGTTTGAACTCAGGTCCTCCTGACTCCAGGGCCCATGCTCTATTCACTGCACCACCTAGCTGCCCCCTCGTGGTGGTAGCTAACATTTAAAAAATGTATCTGTAGCTAATCAATCACTATCTATCTACCCTGCTTTTTCACATCACCAGCATTTCCCCCAGTAAGCCCAAGAGTCATCCCATATAACAAAGGATATTTAAAAAAAAAAAAAAGGACAAAGAAAACAAATCAGCAAATCCAATCACCACACAGAAAACGCGTTCTACAATGCTGGGGTCCCCAGCCCTGGGGGCTTTTCAGCTCTTTTTTGTTCCCTCTGCACGCATGGTGTGGTCAGTCCTCCTGGGCTTATGTCTTCCGGGCTCCGACTTCACTCAGACTGGGTCACTCTTTCCGCGCTTCTCTGCGGTCACAGCCCTCCTCCTCTACTGCAGTGACACGCCATTCCATTCCCATACCATCGATGGGCATCTCCATTCCCTGTCCTTTGCTGCTATACGTATTCTGCTGTGCACGGGGACTTGCTCCCTACCCGTGGAATCTCTTGGTCAAAGGCTACGGACCCAAACCACTTTCCCAAATGAGTGCCCAGCTTTGCAGCTCGAGCGCCGACGCACACATCCTAGTGCCCGTCTGCCCACAGCCCCTCTAACTTGGGAGTCTCATCATTTGTCTTGGATGATTTGCAGGGTTGGTCTGCTTTGCATTTCTCTCGTTATCAGTGATTTGGAGCATTCTTTCACGTGGTTGTTAAAGATCAAATGAGGCATTCGTAAAGCAATGATTAGCACAATGCCTGGCACAGAGTAGGTGCTCTATAAATGCTCATCCCCTCCCCACAAAGGATGATGACAAAGCAATCTAGCCACAGACCTTTTCCAGTTCAGCGAAGGTGAGACAAGTGAGGGGGAGTGTAATCTAACAGAGGAACTGAACGGCGATTATAAGGGTCTGCCCACCCACCTATCCTGGGCACACGGGCACTTTGGGGGCTAAGCTAAGGCAGGAGAGTAGAGCAGGGCCCTAGGTCCCATGATGGAAACTGCCCACTACCCCGTTCCCCCAATAGAAATAGGAGGCAAACAGGACACACAAGTTTATTGCATTATAGAAACAGATCAGCTAGCAAACACCTCCGTCCCAGATAACGGTTACTCACTTGGCTTACTTGAGGGGAAAAGGGACATGGCAGAGGACAGGCTTCATTTCATTTGAGGAAGGGGGAAGCATGTCTGCGGTCCTGTGCAGTAACATGCCCGGCCCGACGGCTCGCCCCCCTCCTGAGACCCGCGCGGCCTCATGGGCCAGGCAAGTCACAGAGGGCACAGTCCTGAGTCTGGGGGGAGGGGAGGCCGAGCAGCGCTGACCAGTGCCTGAGCTTCAAGAATTCAATGGTCACTTAGTTATCCATCAAGGTGCATGAGAATAAGCTGCCACTTGGACAGAGGTTGAGACATGTATGTTTGACCACGGACAATGTGGGGATTTGTTTTGTGCACCAATGCTTAACTGTTAAAGTGACTCTTCCCCTCCTTCTTCAGTGGAGGGGGGTGAGAGGGAAAGAACATAAATGCTCAATTGAAAAAAATAACTATTAAAAACCAATTTCTTCAACCAACCCCCCCCCCCAACATAGGGCTTCCCCTTCACAAGGCAGCTGTCTACACTAGCTTCCAAGCTCGTGATCTGCTTTTGTGCCCATTGCCCTGAGTGCCCCCCCAGCCCACCAGAGGGTGGCGGTGACTCCCCCAATCTCCCTCCCATGGAAGGCTGAAAGGTGTTCAGTGCTTCCAGGCATGGGGAAGGGGCTACTGCATTCCTGCCTCTGGACGGAACAAAAGCAGCTTAGTGGGGAGGCGTGATGCCATGATGCCAAGCAGCGGCTCCTGGTGGGCCCCAAGCCTTCAGCTCCTGGTCCCTGTAGGGCCCTGCCCTGCTCCCCCAGGACCAGACCCCTAGGCAAGAGCCGGGCCTCCGAGAGAACTGGGCTGCTCTTGCTGGACCAGCACACCCTACCACATCACACCTGGCTGTCCCTGAGACACTTCTGGTCACATGTGTAACACCTGAGAGAGGCCAGACTCTAAGAACTGAGAGAATACTAACTTTTAGGGGTGGTGGCGGTCACGCATCGAGATGAAGACAACATTTGAGCCGCCGCCAGCAGGCTGAGGCAGCAGGGAGTGCTGGAGGCAGGCTGGAGGTTCTGGCTGCAGCGTGCTCTGAGGCGCCCACTTGCACTTATAGCCTGGGAGGGCTCAGAAAGAAGGGGGATCCGAGAATCCTTCAGACCCATTCCTCCCAGGCAATCAGAAGGGGGCTCCACTCTACCCAGCCCCCGCCTCTCCTGCAGCCAGGTCCATGACGCAAAGAAACTCAAGTGTGTCTTCAAAATGCTATTGGGACAGTGGAAGGATTCCTATCAGACACACAGCGCTAACCTCACTTGCCACCTAAAGAGGGGGCTCCTCTTTGGACGCCTGGAGCACACTGCCTGAGGCTGGGGAGCGCTCTGCCTGGCTGCCTAGATATGACTATGTGTGGGGGGGCTGGGTCATCAAGGCTGCTGGATCAGTGAGAGGTCAGAGGCCTGCGCTAAGCAGGAGCGGCTCCACACAAAGCGGGAGGCGGGAGGCTAAACAAGGTCTGAGGAGGTGCAGGCCATGGCTTTGTGGTTCTATGGCTTGCCCGTCTCCTTCCTTCCTGAGTTCGCTATTCAGTCAGCCCTGACTCCTGCCCCTCCAGCCCAGAGACAACAAAGCCATCGGGGCTCCCCCTACAACCTATAGAAGCCTGGCCCGCCACACCACTCACCTGCCTCCCCACGCCGGGAGCACCTGGGCAAGGGCCTCGAGCTGGGCAACGTGTCCCTGGCCCTGGAAGCCTGGCCTGCCCCGAGGGGCCCTGCCTTCTTCTGGTTCAGCAACCCCCCCTTCTGTGGAGTGGGGGACGCTTAGCCAACAGTGTCAAAAGTGAACTCACAGACAAGACATCCTTAATAAATTAGTATAATACTGTTAGAAGGGATGGCGTTGATTCTGGTTGTTAGCAGCATTGTCCTACATACAGCCCGGTGATCTCCTTCCCTGGGAAATTTAAAAAGCCGTCCCCTGGTGGTTAGCTCTGATGTAAAATTATAAAATAGAAATCTGGTAGGGTTTGTTTTTTTAAAAAGGAAAAGCCCTGGAGAGTCGGCGGTGGCGGTGAGGTGAGGCGAGGCGAGGCCCTCCCTCCCAGGCCCGTTAGCTCTGGCTGTTGGGTCTGCCAAAGGTGTTCCCACCAGGGGGCTGTATCTGGATGGAGTCCAGGAGAGGCCGCAGAGCCTGTCCGAAGGGCCTGTGGGAGAAGACGACACAGGAGGGAAGACTTCAGACACAACGCTCTCCTCCAACAGAGAGGCAGGCACAGCTTACTGAGCGATGCTGGCCAGCCTCCAGGATTCAGTCACCCTGGGCTTGGTCCTGTAAATCCTTTGCTTCCAGGCTTGGGATGAGCACAGACCTGTCCTTCCTCCCTCCTCCCCTCCCTCCCCTCCAAGGAGCTCCCTGGGGGCTGCCTGGATTGTGTGGATCAGGCCACACAGGGACTGATCCTGCTGGACATCCACGCTCTAGGGAGCCCTCCTAGTACTTGGCGATGGCACTCACTTGGACCCCAGTGACCACAAACTGTGCGTGCCACTTCTCTGCTCCTTGAATCTTGCTCAAGGAGCCCCAGTGTCTCTTTGACAAAAAGGCAGGCGTCTGGAGCCTTTCAGAGGTTGCTCTAAAGTGCAAGCCCACCAAGAGGACCCACTGGTGCTCCTCCCATTCTCCAAGGACAACTGCTGCTTCTGAAAACTACACGCAGGGGCCTCAAGCGGGTCCTCGGAGGCGTGACCCAGGCAGGGCTGGACGGCCTGGCCCCTCTCCCTGCTGACACCACAAGCCGAGAACCAGCTTCCACACCGTACCCCAAATCCTGCCAGCAGGGCCCCTCCTGGTACCCAAAGACACAAGCAAGGCCCAGGAAGCAAGAAGCGCCTGCATCAGCCCCCCGGGGCTGCCCCCAAGCACAGCCTGCAGCTAGGACCTCTACCTGCCCCGTCCCCCAGGTCACCCAAGGGAAAGCCAACAGGCAGATGGAGGCAGCCCTCGAGTTGAGATGGCACTACAGAGTGTGAGGGCTCGGTCAGTGGGCCGGCCTGCTGTTGGGAAGGCCCAGGGGGCCTGCAGCCCTCCGCGGCTAGGAGCACCTGGGCGTTGGGTCTCAGCCTGTCCAGACGCTCCCGCTCTATGTCCCCCTCTGTCCTTGGCTCTTACATCTATATCCCGAGCACTGTCCTTGCTGGGCCGTGACACCCGCGAGGGAGCTGGTCCCTCCTCGACGGGGCATGTTTTGGACACGTGAGCGATCGCTGTCTTCCTGGGAACGGGCATCTTCTCTGAGCTGATCAAGGGCTCTGGAGGTGGCCCTTCTGGCCCCGAGCTTCTGTCCTCTACCCACACAGAAACCGAAATCTCTGGACTGGAAAGAGTGACCAAGGGATGTCCCGGAGGCATCCACGCTGGGGTGCTGGGGAAAGAGCACTGGATCCAGCCAGACCACCTGCACTTGAATCCTTAAGGCCTGTGCCGCTCATTACCAGCAACCCTGAGCAAGTCCCATCAGCTCTCATGGCCCTCATCTGTACAATAGGGACAATCCTAGCCCTTCCCGCCTCACCAGGTGCTTGTGAGGAAAGCCCTTGAGAGATGGGAGCTGGGTGGCTGGGCCAGAGTCAAGGCAGGAGCACGAGGACAAAGAATCACTAGAGAAGGAGCAGAAGGAAACTGAGGGACATCAGAGGAGCGTGGACAACAATTCTGCCCCCTGAGTGGAATGGAGGGCGCCAAGATGTCCTAGACCAACCAGTCAATTCTACTCCCGTGAATCTCCCTAGGTCCTTCCAACTGCGCTCCCCCAAGCCCGTCCCTCCGAGAACTCGTCAGAATCTGGCCCTGGCCCTGGCAGGGTGCGGCCCTTCAGACCAGCCTGAGCCAGCTGCTCCAACCGCGCCTTCCCAGTGACAGGCACTTTCTGACTGAGCGTCCATATCCCTTCCTCCAGTGGGCAGAGGCCCAGTGAGGATCACGCCAGCACTCACAGAGACCCCAGCTGATGCCGCGCAGGTGCCACCCGGGCTCTTGGCCACTGGCCTCCCCAGCCCTGCCCCGCCTGCGTCAGGGTGAGATGAGCCCCTGGGGCCACCTCGAGGGCCCCCCAGATGACAGGCGAGGAGAAGGGGGCAGTACTCACGTGGAGAGGACTTCAGACGGAAGGTCTGTGATGTAGGAGGGGATCTTCTTTCCAGTCAGGAACTGGGCCACTTCGTTGCTGAATGTGTTACAGTTGTGCTCAAAGAGATTGTAGGCCTCACCTCTGTCCGTGCAAAGGGGGAGACGAGACCCATGAGCACCCCCAAAACGCAACACTCGCTAAAAGTCCACAAGGGCAGGTCTCCTGGGCTCATGTGGCCCTCAGTCCCCTCTCTATAAAATGGGGAGGACCTATTTACTTCACAGGTTTAGGAGGATCAAGGGAGAAAGTGTGGAGAGAACATTTTGTGGACTCTAAAAAGCCTAGGGAAATATTGGTTAGCTAATTTTAGGAAGCCAGCCTGATGCAAAGGAAAAGAGCCCTGGATCAGGAGTCAGAAGACCTAGTAGTTTAGCCTGTCTCCAACCCTCACCACCTGTGTGACCTCGGGCAAGTCACTTTCCCTCCTCTGAGGCTTAATTTCCTCTTCTGTAAAACAAGCAGGTTGGACCAGATCAGCATTTTCCAAACCACGTGTCATGGAACCCTGGGGCTCCAAGAAATGGGGATTGGGGTTTTGTGACAACAATTCAATACGGATGCAGGTTTTTTTGGTACAAGCCTCTTCCTGGGTGCCCTCCCCTCCCAGTGGGGTAGTCCGAAAGCAGGTTTTGAGGGGTCTTACACTTCCCAGGCCGCCCCCCCCCGCCACCATGCCATGCCAAGAGAATCTGAGAAGACACAGCACAGGACATGGCGGGTGTGCCAGCCCCGGCCCAGCTTAGCCAGGCAGGGCTGTGAAGCCCTCCCCCCAACCCCTCCTGACCCAGACTGAGCTGCCCTCAACTCACCGGAACAGGGACTCCCCTAGGGAAGACAGGTATTCCAGGAAGATTTCTTCGGTAACTTCGGTGCTCCCTACTTCTACCACTGAGTCAGGAGGCCCAAGCAGTGTCCCTCCCTGCAAGGGTGAGCCAACAGTATTAGGCCAATCACCAACCCCTGAGAATTTCCCCAGAACCTCTGAAAAGGGACGACCCCAAGGGTCTCCATCTAGACCTGGAGTGACCCTCGAGGTCACCGGGTCCAAGCAGCTCCTTTCAGAGGGGGAGCCGAGCCATGATCGGAGCCCAGGGCGGCCCTCCGACAGGGACAGAAACACCAAGCCAACTCAATCAGCAGCCCCTTCTTAGCCCTCAAACTTTCCCAGACAGCCAGTCGTCTGGTTGAACAAGGTTGAGCAGCCCAAGCACTGCTGGGGGCTCCAGGCACTTCCCAGTGCCCATTTCCCAGCCTCCTGCCTCTCCTCATGCTAGTCGGAAGGCTTTTTTTCCCTTTCTTTAATTTTTTTTAATTGCAAACTTAAAGATGAACATTTAGAAAGACAAAGAACTAAAAAGCCTGTCTATGAAACTGTGCATATCTGTTGCATAGAGCTTAAGTGTATATTAAACACCTCGACAGTAACGAAGCCTCTTTGCTTGTGTCTGGGTCCCATTCTGAATTCACTTCCACTCTTCTGGGGAGTTTCCAGATGTTTTATTTGTCACATTTTTTTTTTGCATGATTATCCGGCCCCCCATCCCCCCCACCCCCAGAAACTCTCCCTTGTAACAGATCGGCAAAGCAAACCAACATGTTGGCCACGTCTGAAAAGGCACATGTCCTTCTTCACCTTCAGGCCAGCGATTGCTGCCTAGGGGCATAGATGGGCTCCTAAAGCTGGGATTGGTCACGGCCCTCGCCAGAGTTCTGAAGGGTCCCAAAGCGCCTTCATTTACATTACTGTGGGCACTGCGAAAACCCATCTCCTGGTTCTGCTTATTTACCCTGACATAAATCACCTGGGCATCCATCTGGACATTTCCCTGAATCTATGAGGCATCAGTTTTTACAGCACAGTAACATCTCATTTTGTTCAGCCGCTGCCTAACTGATGCAACCCTGATGTGTTTCCGGTTTTTGGACACAACAAAAAATCCTGCTATGGGTCCTTTCCGACTGTCTGACCTCGCTGAGGGCACGTGCCTGCCCTGAGCCACTGTGAACCCCCAGCAGCAGGACTTTGAGGGGACGGGAGTTCCCAATTGCTTTCCAGGATAAATGACCCTCTTAACAGCCCCCCACCCCACATGCATTAGGGCACCTGTCTGACTCAGCAGCTGCTTGCTGGTCACTTTTTTCTTATTATTTCCCATGGTTGTTGATCGCTTACGTTTCTATTAGGGAAGGGTTCTTGTTCTTACCTGTTTGTATCGATTTCCTCTGCATCTTCTCCTTGGACTTTCACAAACTTTTTTTTTGGGGGGGGGGGTGAGGCAATGGGGGTTAAATGACTTGCCCAGGGTCACACAGCTAGTGAGTTATGTGTCTGAGGCCGGATCTGAACTCAGGTCCTCCTGACTCCAGGGCCGGTGCTCTATCCACTGCGCCACCTAGCTGCCCCTCACAAACTTTTAGCAGAAGAATTTGCTTCAAGGATTTTTTTCTTGTTTTACTTCTAGCTGCATGGGTTTTGCTTGTGCAAAAAGCATTTTAATTTTATGTACTCAAAAGCGTCCACCTGGTCTTTTGTGATCATCTCTATTCCTTCTTCAGTTAAGAATTTTCCCCTAGCCATCATTTTGAAAAGTCTTTTCTTCCCTTTTCCCGTAATCTCTCTATTAACTGGAGTTCCTGCATCCACTTGGAGCTTAAGCAGCACATGTTGGGAAGATCTAAACCTGACTTCCACTAGCCCGAGTTTCAGGCCAGGCTGCTAATCCGTGTAATTTGTGAGGCAGGTGTGTGTGCAGTCATGTGGACCCTGACTCTGATTCACAAATGGAGGGGCCAGGGCACCAGAAGGTGCTTCATTTAACAATCTATTTCTCTATAGTCTAACCCATGAAAAAATATGCCATTTCTTCCTTTGGAAATTCAAGAGGCAAAAACTCGGTAGGATGAGATATTTTTATGGACAATCAAGTTATTATTATTATCATTTTTTATTTGGAAGGTTGGGCCAATGGTTGGTTTCGAAATGCTGACTGCCCTGTAGCAGTATGTGGTCAAATCCCAGGCACGAGGGGCCCTCTGACTACTCCAGAGAGCCAAGGGAAGAAACAATCAAGAGTGACCAGGCGACAAAACAGGCCCCAGTAGAGCCACAGTCTCACGGATGAGGGTGCCCTACCCCCACCCACCGCCTCCACAGGGCAGACAGCAGCTCAGAGACACCTTTTAGCTCTGTATGATTCTTGTTCATCTCTCTTCATAAATCCTCTAGAGGAGATCTACCCAACAATTGGTCCTCACTCACAACTTCAGCAGACTGGCAAGAACAGCCCTGAGAGATGGTAAATCTGGTAGGGGATGGTATGGAAGAAGGTCTCAGAAACGTAGCTTTTAAAGCATATCTATGGCATTCAGTGGGAAGCTGAGTAACCCAATCTGCTCTCCTGCAGGAATCACAGGGGGATCAGAGGCAGCAAAGGCGGGAGGCACTTACGGGCGGACAGCTGGTGATGCCTCCACTGCCAAAGAAGAACTCGTCCTTGTGAACAACTATGGAGGTGTGCCTGCCGTGGAGAGGAAAGCCAGGGTAAGCGGAAAACCGACATTCAAAAGCAACTGGAGGGAAACACACAGGCTTTCGGGAGGGCGCACGCCTATGCCTGGATAGAGACAATTCTGCTAAGATTCACAAAAGGTGGCACCCTGCTGGCAGGTGAGAAAGGGGGTGGGGGGGGAGAGATTGCTCAAGTCGTTTCCAGACCATTTGCTGGAAGGGAAGCCTGCAAAGCGCGCAGCAATCTCAACGGCTAACAAAACCAAACCAACAACTCAAGCCTACCTCCAGCCTAAAGCGGCAGGGAGACGGGCATTGGGAGGCCGGCCCGTGAAGCTTCCCGAGGATGTTTCAAGAACGTGGCTCTGCGTGGTACCTAAAGACCTTTCCAACTTCCTTCACAGCTACCTTGGGTCAGTTTTGAAAAAGGAGGGCCAAACAAGCCTGAATATGGATCAATTCCATGGAAAAGTGCCCACACACTGAGATCCAGTTATTGGCAAAATAACAACGGTCAACCTGATATTTAACCCAAGCTTAAGTGGCCTCGCTCATCATTTCCCTGGAGCGCCCAGCTCAGGGCATTTGGCAGAGAGGAACGCGGCAAGGGCATGAGGGATAAAACAGAGACAGGAGGTCTGAAGGCTCAGTGATTAGTTAGTAGGCTTGGCTACAATCGGGCACCTGGTGGGCATGAGTCCCCTCCACCCTTCCAAATTCAATTCACAGAACGCCAGGGCTGGATATGACCATAAAGAAGAGAGAACTGAGGCCCAGAGAGGTCACAAAGCTAGCAAAGGCCAGAAGCAGGACCAGAATTCAGGGCTCCTGATTCCAGGCCAAGGTCCTCTCATTACACCGTGCTGCTGCTTGGAATGGAGTCAACCCTTACATCTTCAAATTTAAAATAAATGGGAAGTGGGTCTACGTGTCAAGTTAGGAGCTAAAAGTCGTTTGGGGACTACAGCGGATTCCAGGGCATGGTGGCACTTGTGTGTTCCATAAACCAATCGACCCAGTCAAGATTGAAAAGTCCAACAACTTACCAGATGCCTTCCAGCTGTTTCCCTGTGAAAAGAAGAAGATATTAAATTTAACTATTTGAGACTGGGCAACGTGAATTTACTAGTAACCGCCAACAAAAACAAATAATCCACTAAGTGCAAAAAGAATAAGAACTAAAACCATCCACAAAACCCTTGTTATATTATACCAAATTGTCACCACAGTAACAAAGAAAAGTGTCCTGCTGCCCCACCTGCCCCAGAACCAAATCTGGACAAAGCTCGGCTGCCCTCAACTTGGCTTTACCAAATACATATATGGTTTGCGTGAGCTGGCAACGAGTTACTTCATACAAGTCTGCCCATTCCTTTACATTAACATTCAATACTTTTTCAGACATTCTCCAGTTTTTAGACTTAGATCGAGTCCTTTTTCTGCAATTACAAATATGGCCTCTAGAAATATTCTTATACAGATACAGACCTTTTTATGATATTGTTATAAAGTCCCAGAGAGAGAATCAGTGGGTCAAAAAGCATGACCAGTTTTGTAACTTTTTTTTTTTTTTTAAAGTGAGGCAATGGAGGTAAGTGACTTGCCCAGAGTCACACAGCTAGTAAGTGTTATGTGTCTGAGGCTGGATTTGTGACTCCAGGGCTGGTGCTCTATCCACTGTGCCACCTAGCTGCCCCCAGTTTTGTAACTCTTAATGGATACTGCCAATATGGCCCTCCCTTTTAGAGTCCCAACAACACCCCAGAGGGCTCGCTCCTCCTCCCAACCCCACAGTCATTAAATCTTGTCATGTGGTTGCTATTTGCTAAGAGTTTTTGCTAGAGCCCAGATTATTTTTACGCAATTCTGGGATAGCCTGGTTAATAATAAACTCACTAGAATATATTCCAGGTCTATAAAAAGGTTTAAAGTTCTTGGCCCATGATGTGAATGTGGAATTCCAGTACAAATAGTAGAGGGAAGGTGAATGTGGGTCACAACCAAGAACTCTTAGGTAGAATTCTGACCTCAATGCACTAACACAGATACACCCCAACTTTAAGGAGCGTTGTTCTGCCCTGTGCCCTGGCTCATCTGTGCATAATCTCCAAAGTCACCCCTAATGCACCTACCTCCTCTTATAGGAAAAGGGGAAATCTGCCTCTTTGCAGGCAAGGGCCAAGAGAAGGGGTGGGGAACCTGTGGCCTCGAGGTCCTCAAGTGCAGCCCTTTGACTGAATCCAAATTTCACAGAACAAATCTCCAATAAAAGGATTTGTTCTGTAAAACTTGGACTCAGTCAAAAGGCTGCACTTGAGGACCTAGACGGCCCCACGTGGCCTCGAGGCCGCAGGCTGCCCAGCCCTGGAGGCTTCCAGAAAATGGTGGAGAACCTTGGAAAAACTCTCATTCACATGGTACTAATGATATCTGCCTTCCAAGGTGAACTGTGAAATCTAAGATGGAAACCCTCATTCCCTTTTTTTAAAAGTTTTTACTGCTCAGATTTTCTTCTTTAGAAAGAAAATATATTAAAAAATTACTCTCCCTCAGTGACCTAACCTGCTGACATCTAATTATTGTACCTTATGGTCCCTTTGGGAAAAGGGCTAAAGGCTCTCCCAAATGCCCAAAGCAGTAGAGAGCAGACTTGCTGGAAAAGCAAAAAGAAACAAATCTAAACAATCTCACCAAAGAGACTCTAGCACATATTCACATTTCATCCTTGTGCTGTTCAAACCAGATGTAGGGGGCTATGTTGAACTGACTCACACAAAGTAATGCCAGGCCTGCTCTGTGGATAGAATCCTGGGCTGACTGCTGAAAACCCGAAGATAAGGCCAGAAAGGTGCCTACCCCCCTGCATTTTATTAAGAAGTATGGCATATGCACAAGTAGAGACAATGATCCAAGGTCATTTTAGGAAGGAGTGGGCACGAGCTGAGTCTGGAAAGGGGAGGGATGCCTGGGATGGAGTACGGCTTGTGGGAATGCACCCTCTACTGTAGGGAACAGCAGGACCACAGTCTGGTCGGGCTGGAATGTTGAGTGGGTGACAGGGAATGATCTGCGATAATAAGGCTGGAAAGGCAGACAAGAGGAGGGCTGCAGCAGGCTTCATGAGTCTGAATTTTGTCCTTGAAGCAAGAGGTTTTCTAACAGGGAAATGATATACAGTTAGTCACACCCGTCCTTCAGGAAGATAAATTTGGAAGCTGGGAGAGATGGAAGAGATGGGAAGAGAGATGAAGGAGTGATGGGAAACAAGAAGCGCAAGGCAAGGCACAGCTAAGGTGGCAGAGGGAGGGGTGACAGGAACTTCACAGCACTTGATAACTGATTCCTTTACAGGGACGCGGGGGAGTGAAGAATGACTCTCGAGCCAGGAATGTGGGTGGGTGGGACGCTGGCACCCTCAACAGGAAAAGGGAAGTTTTGACACAAAACAGCAGAAAGAAAAGAAGAATTTAGCCTCCCGTATTCCAGCGCTGACTCTGTGGGGAGATGAGCTCCAGCCACCACAGGCCTAAGGACTGTCGCTGGCCTCTGGGTCACAGAAGAAAAGAAGGCGCTTCCTGGCCGGAAGGCCCTGGATGACGCAGGAGGCTAGTGGAGCACACACGGCCGGTCCAGACCGGATCAGCCAACAAGTGGTCACTCTCAAGGCCTGTCTTTCTCCCTGAGGCAGCCCATTTAAGTCAGCTTTGCCTCCTTTTCCCCCATCCATGCAATGGCTGCTTTCTAAGGACCGGCCAAAGTATCCTCCCTGACATGTGCAGTCATGGCTGCCAAGGAAGGCACCTGGGAAGGAATGGGTGAGGGGGACTGGTGTCAGCTCAGAAAGCTGGGAGATGCCGAGAACGAGTTTATGGAAAAGCTTATTGAGGGATCCAGCTGAGCCAGCCCACCCTGAGGATGGTGAGAAGGAAACAGGAAGGAGGACGAGTGACAGCTGAGCCGCTCCACTTGGATTCAGCCCCTGCACGGAGAGGTAGAAATGAAGGCACAAAAAGACGACCAAGATGGAGGCAGCTGCTGACCCAGGCCAACCGTGCCCCTGAGGGTCCGGCTGAAGGCCCTGAAGTCTCAGGGCGTCTCAGAGAGCGGGTCTGAAAAACAGTGACCCAAGGGCTCAAGTTGTGGCATTCACAGTGGACAGACTGCGGGGCACTTACTAGCTGGGTCACCTTGGGCAAGTCATTAATGACCTTCTGCCTCCATTTCCTCATCTGTGAAATGGACAATTGCATCTGCTTCCCAGGGTTGTCATGAGGTTCAAATGAGATGTTTGTGAAGTGCTTTGCCTACCTTTAAAAAGCTCTCTATAAATGGGGTACATTATTAAAGGGCGATGACTGGGAGGCATATGGTGGGTCTGAACTGGCTTCAACTCTCCACCAGTGAAGAGCTGGAAGAAGTGGCCAAGAGGCTGGGTTGTGAGACAAGCCCCAGGTGGCAAGAGCAGGCCCATGGCAGGGCAGGGAGTCACCCTGGGGGAGCCCAAAATGCCAAGCAGACTTCTGTGGAGAATGTACAGGAAAGAGGCCATAGGAAGTAGGGGTGGGAAGGAAAGGAACACCCAGTATCCCGCGGTCCTCAATCCCAAATTCTGCAGTGAAATGGGGATAACAACAGCTCCCTTACTAACGTTATGTGGGGACAACATGAAGACCAGGGAAATGAGGATGGCCTTCAGGTAGCACAAACCTGACAGAACCAAGTCACCCTCAGTGACCCAGCTGTAGCTGCCAGGCCGGCCTGGCTGGTATATGTCAGCCACTGACTTATTCCTTCCCCTTCCCTAAGACACAGTGACAGGTGCTTTCTCCTGCTCCATAGATTTTCCAGCACCAAAGTTTTCGTTTAAAACAAAGCTTCCTTTACTCAGGGTAGGGGAAGGGCTGTGCTCATGTCCATTTCCATAACTTGGAAAAGCTGGTGGCATTTAGTCTCTTGGACCGAAGCCTGGCGTGAATGAGGCCTTCGAGGGAGATCAAGGTCATGCTAGGCCCATGGCCGACTTAGGCCAACGAGGTTCTGCCCTGGCTCACCTATCAGCCTCTCCTTGCTGCCCAATGCTGCCAGTCTGCTCTGTCTCACTGATGTAGGCCAGGGTCACAAAGGGGTCACAAGGGGTCTAAGAGAGAATCTGGGAATTCGTCAGGACTCAAAACACATGTCCTAATGGCCGAGAGTTTATTTAATCTATGTGTCAAAAGGACACAGCATCATTGTTGGTATGGTTTAGAGGGAAAACAAAAATTACGGGGTTCCAAATGGCAAAAATCTTTACAGATGTGTACTTATTTGTTAATACTACCGTTTGTGTTCCATTTTTTCCTGGTCAGCTTTTATGAAAAGCAGCGGTGAAAGCAGGGCAGGACCAGGGGCTCTACAGACTGACAGCTGTCTAGAACCCCACTGTGACCTAGGATGGAGGGTTCTATGGAGGGGAGGCCCTGACTGGCCAGCCAGCCAGTCAGACAGTAACTGCTTCCTCATTAATTCCCCAACACACTTAATGTTTGCTATATGCAACCGTACCTGGAAAATCAGCAACATCAAAAACTCTTCAATATTCTGTCCCAGGCCAGCTGCCAAGGGCAATGCCTGCAGAGGGTGAGTATGGGACTTCAACAGTGGGTCCTTGATACTAAAGGTGGCTGTGAAATGGGGATGAGGTGAAAGGAGGCCATTCCTCAGCGGCAGCAGTGGTGCAGATCAGCTTTAGGCACAAGAAACTACGGCATGAAATCAAAATGGCATCTTTGGGCATATCTGAATTCCTGTCTCTCTCTCTGTCTCTTTTTTTTTTTTCTGAATTACCATCTCTTACACCAGGGGAAGGGAACCTTTGGCCACACTGTGGCCTCCAGGCCGAAGGTTCCCCACCCCATCCTAGACTAACTGACCTTGAACAAGTTACTCAGTCGAGTCTCTGGGCCTCAGTTTCCTCATCTGTAATGGCCTCTAAAGGTCCTCTTCCAGATTATGATGATACTTTCCCCAAAAAGGTAAAAAGCTTTATTCCACTTGCCACTTTAAAAACTCTAAAAGACAAAGATTTTTCCAGCAAAGGAATGAATTTTTTGTAATAAATAATCCATTGATGACTTCCTTCTCATAATGCTTGAGGGGATATGTTAAATCAAGATTGTTACACTGTCTGCCAATAATTTTTATTAAGTTATGCCTTGCAGCAAAGCAACCCAGAAAAGGGGGTGTATTAATGTTATCTCCATTTTACAAATGAAGAAATTGCATTACAGGTATAACCTATAGCAAGTTGCTTACTGTCTTGGGGAGGGGTGAAGAGGAGAGAGGGAGGAACAGAATTTGGAACTCAAAACTTTAAAAAAACCAATAACCCAATGTTAAAAATTGTTTTCACACGTAACTGGGGGGGAAATATTATTTAAAAAAAAAAGTAATTGCATTAGTCAGACACGAATCCAAACAGCCCAATGAATCCAATATAGAACCTGATAGACGGTTATTAAAGCACGACGAAAAATCTGAACAGGTTTAACTGGATCATATACTGCAAGGCCACTCTGGCCCATACATGGTCTTTATCTTACCGGCACTTACTGCTTTCAGCTAACAATTTGACATTTTCTAAAAACTTGTCTTATAACCCTCATGAATCATGTTTATAAATGACAGTCACAACCTCCATGAAGGAAGGGCTCTCTCTTTGGTATCATCCGCCCAAATCTGCCTAGCACATAAGATATTAATATTTCTTAGAAAGTCCCCATGTCCTTGGATTGAAGAATCATTTTGAGATGTGCCTGCCAAAAAAATATGAAAGCGAACCCTGTGTTGCAGCAGGCAAGCAGCTAGCAAAGGGCCGGAGGAGGGTAAAGTTTCCCGGGTCATGAGAAAACTGTGTTCCTTTTAATGTCCCTTAACACAGAAAGCGGTCACCAGAATTCAGAGAGCAGCTCTAAGGGGAAGGACCGAAGGACAACCATGACAGCTGATTTGGTGCCTTACAAGGATGAAAGGACAGAAGGGGTTTGATCGCCTGTCTACACCTATTCGAAGTGTAAGCACTGAGGGACAAACTTTAGGGGCGTTTCCACAGTCAGTGAGAAAGTGGCCATAAGAACCTTCAAACTAAATATGTTAATCACATTGTCTGGAGCCTGTACCATGCAGAGAAGGAGCAGGCAACAAGATGTGACCTCATTTACTGCAATTCTGATCTTATACTGTAGTGAGGACAGAGAGACCCAGGGAAGAAGCCTAAAATCCTCGGAGGGATGGGGGAGCGCAGGATGATGGCTTCCCGAGGGCAAACTAAAAATGTCAGGACTGCTCCAAACGGAAAGTAGAAAGCTGGAAGACGGTAGGAGTGTACAAAATGGTGAACGCCAAAGGTAACGCTCGTGTGAATCCTGACAGAGTTGGACAAGAGAATATTTTCAGCTCGAACAATGGAGGCATTTATTTCCATCTCTGAAAAACAATGGCTAACTTCAGAAACACTTTCCACTTGGCCCAAAGAAACATGGATGCCACATAGTAGACAAAGTACTGGCTCTGGAGCCAGAGGACATGGTTCAAATTCTGTCTCCTAGGCTTATTACCTATGACCTTGGGTAAGCCATCCGTTTAGTTTCCCTGGGCCTCAGTTTCCTCCTCTGTAAAATGGGGGGAGGGAATGTTGGACTGTAGCCTTGGACTGATCCCATGTTCTTGAAAGCAAAACCAGAATTTCCTCCTCAAAGAGACTGGATGAAGGCAAGGTGGAAGAGGAGCGGCTCCCATTTAAAAAGACAGCCCTTTAAGGCAAACAAGTCTTTCTTCACAATAACCCTGGGAAGCAGGTAATAACGGTATTGGGTTGGTTTTTTGTTTTACCATTTTACAGATGAGAAAACTGAGGCTAAGAGATTTGTAATACGTGGCAGGGCAAGGATTCAAATCCACGTCTCCTACCTCCAAACAGAGCTGGAATTACATCAGACAGTGGGAAGGCAATTAGGCCAAATGAGGAAGCTCACTGCACTGATGGTTTAAAAATGACAAAACCATTAATGGTCACAGTGTCCTTGATATGGGGGGGGGGGAGGGACACACTTTGGTTGGAAATGAGAACTGCATGAAATTCGGATCTAATGTGGCTTTAAGGCGTGGGAGAAAACTCATGTAGACGTGTCTGGTCTTCAATTCCAAAGGTTACTAACATCACCTTGCGCGTGGCCCAAAGAAGAGGAGACAGCCCAGGAGCCACTTAGCATTACAGAGGCCCGGAAGGGCTGAAGAAGAGGGCATCAGCACAGATGGCCAGAAGAGCCTTCTCCTGGGCCCAGATGGGAATCCCCCCCATCCCGAGAAGCAGAAAGTTGTTCCAACTTCCTTTTCCATGCATCCAGGAAACCTTCTCAATTTGCCTTCTCATTATTAATGGGCAAACCACAGGGCTCAGTTCCAAGCTCTCTGTTTATCTTTTGAAACAGGACTGTAATCATTAGGGACTAAGCACCTCTCTCAGTTGTGACTCTCACACTTCCTGAATTTCTCCTCTAGCAATCAGTCAAAATCATGTCCAGCTCAAGTTAAAACTAGAAAGGTACTAAGGATATGCCTGTAAGGACTCCAGCTTTTCAGTCCTGACCTTTAGCACCCCCCCTCCCCCAGTGAAAAGTAAAGAATCACAAGTCAGCCTCACAGGTATAAGGGATGCTTACAAAGTGTGGGGGCCAGTGACCCAGGAAGGCAGGGTCTAGCCAGGCACACTTAAAGGGCCGCCTCTGAAAGCGGAGTTTTGTTAGGTATGACTTGAAATGCACTGAATGAGGAATCTTTTTTGTTCCACAGAATTCTGACGAATGGCATCACCCCATCCCATTAGGTCTTGGTCTGTACTGAACTGAGGTTTTCATTTGTAGAAATTAGGTAATTCACGAGTGTATTTCCTTTCCTCCTCTAACACAGCAGCAATCACCTGCCCCCCCCCATGAGGAAGGTCTCCCTCGGATCACGAATCACTTCCTTTCTCCAAAACCCTCCGGGGCCTTCTCCGACAAGGCCAGAGCGATCCCTCTGTTCGGGTGGCGCTTCGCTGGAGCGGACCGGACCGGACCGGACCGGGCCGGGCTCTCACTGGGTCACGGTCGCTGCGTCCCTCGCCCTCCTCCCCCACCTCGGTGCCCCTCCGGCCCCTAGCGCAGGGTCTCGGTTCGGTTTATAAACCGGGCTGCCCAAAGCATTCGACCCGGAAGCTCACCCTGCGCCCCGCGGCTTCACCCCGGGGTCCTGCTCCCTCCACCCCCACTTCCTGTCCCAGCCCAGTGGGGGACGGGGGGGGGCTTCTCTGCCCGGATCTCTCACTCACCTCGAGAGCCCCGAGTCCCCCCCAGAGCTGGTCCCGGGACGGGACACGGGACGCAGAGGGGCAGTGACGAGCCCAAGGTCACAAAGGCAGGGGGACCCCCCCCCCGGCCCCGCGCTCACCCAGCATGATGGGGCTGAGGCGCCGCGCCAGGCCCTTGGACAGGTCGTACACGTACAGCTTCACCGGGTACAGGTTCGTCGGCTCCATCGACGCCGGCGGCGGCGGCGGCGGCGTCTTCTCCGTTTCCGTGCCGCGCACCGACCGGGGCGGTGGGCAGAGGCCCGGCGGCGTCGGGGCTGGGAGACTCGGGCCGGCTCGGGCCCGGCAACGCCGACTGTGAGGTGACAGAGGGCCGGGAGGCGGGATGCCGTCCGGGCCCGACTGCTCCTGCGCGACGCCGCCCACGCCGCGGCGCCCCGCCCCTCGGCCGCCCGGCGACGTCACGACTCCGAGGTCGAAGGGCGCCCGCAGACGCCGGCAGGGGGGGAGGAGGCGAGGAGCCCCGATGACCTGCTGCGCATGTGCACCAGCGCCCTCCGCGAATCCTCCCGAAACCGTTGGGGCGGGGGGCGGGACAGGCGGGACAGGCGGGACAGGCAGGACCTACGCCTCCTCCCCCCCCCGCCCTTCGAGAGGGGCCGGGACCAGTGCTGTAGCGCTTGGGGAAGGCTTACTGCGCATGGCCAGCACCACCTGCCCGTTTTCAGTTAAGATCATGGTGGGGTTTGCGGGGGGGGGTCCTCCAAAGAAGGAACTACTCTGCGAATGTGCTATTATCGGGCAGCTAGTGCCGGGCCTGGAGGCAGGAAGACTTCTCTTCCTGACTTCAGATCTGGCCTCAGACACTAGCTTGTGACTCCGGACAAGTCACTTCACCCTGTTTGCCTCAGTTTCCTCATCTGTAAAATGAGCCGGAGAAGGAAATAGCGAACCACTCCAGTATCTTCACCAAGAAAAGCCCAAACGCGAGTCAGACAGGACAGAAAAACCGCTGGACACTGTGATACAACCAAGAGGCGGTGCCGGGAAGCCGAGGGGAGGGGAACAAGGGAGCGAGGATCGGATTGCGCAGGTGCAGTGCTGCCCCCAGCCCAACCTGGAAACCGCGGGGGCGGGGCCTCGTGATTTCCTTGCGGCTGCGAGCGATGTGTAGAGCTTTGTGCGCATGCGCATGACAACTTTTTTTCCCCCCACGCCTGCGAAGGGGGTGGTGCTCTGCCCGGAAGAAGGTCGCACACGTAGTGGGAGAGCGAGAGGCGAAGATACTTTCTGCGCATGCGCTCTACGCTCGTTTGGCATTTCACGCAGCCTTGGAGTGGGTGAAACTGTGGCTTTAGGGAAAGCGTAGGCGTTGACATTCTCGCCCACTCCCTCCTCTCTCCAGTTACTTTGTATTTATTTTGCATCTATCTGGAATGTAGTCTATATCCATATCTCGATAGGAATGTTTGTATTCTCAGTGTTCATGAGCCACAGTGCTGAGTACAACGTAGTTAAGTCGTTATCTCTACGTGATCTCATTCCAGGTCCAGCCTCTGTCCATTGCACCACCTACCGAGTACATCGTAGGTACTTAATAAGTGCTTGTACTTTGGGTCGCAGGATGGGGCGTTGTGCGCGTACCTTCTGCCCCTGTCTCACTTAATTCATTCATTCCTTCCTTATTAAGCGGCTCGTACAAGGTGAGGTACTAGGCTCTGAATTTAAATATGGGGGCTGCTTCTGTCCTCGAGGAGCGCTTGCATTTTTTTAAGAGTAGTAACACGTACACAGAAAAAGACATAGATACAAAGTAATTTTGTGGGGGAGGAGGACAGCTGTTAGCTGCGCCGATCAGGATAGGTTTCCTGTAGGAGTCGGCACTTGGCTGACCTTGAAGAAACGTAGAGATTTCAGGGTAGGTGAAGAGGGAGCGCATTCCAGGCCTCCGGTACTGCCTGTGCTAAGGAAAAGAGGAAGTCTTCTGGGAAGAGTGCGCTCCAACTTGGGGCTGCGTAGGAAGCGCGGCCGGGCCTTTCCCTCTGCGCATGTGCGCCACGCTACCCTTTGCCTAGACGTCCTCCCACCGACGCCTGAGAAGGGGCGGGGCTTTGGCTTCTCCTCCGGTCCTCAGCTTTGGTTGTTTGCATTAGAGATTGAGGAGGCGGGGGAGGAGGAGGGCTGCACGTGCGGACCGCGGTCAGGCGCTGCTGCGCGAGCCGATTGGATGACGGCGGGACCGCGCGCGTGCGCACTGGGGGTAAAGCGCTGCTGGAGTTTTCGTCTCGTCCGTCTTCGCGCTCAGTGCTGAAGCTTCGTTCTCAGTGCCCCGGGTAAGGGTGGGCGCGCGCTGGGCCCCCTCACTGGGCATGCGCCCCAGCCTCGTTTGCAAGCGTCAGCGAGCTGGCTGCCGCTGGGCTGGCAGGGCGGCCCCCTTCATCGCGGGGCCAAGTGTCAGGGTCCTGCTCGCGAAGGGCTGGGGCTTCCGCGGAGGCTCCTCTGCAGGGGAAGGGTGTCCGCCCCCGAAGCTGAGATGCTTTCCCCCAGAAAGGCCCTTGTGGCCTCCCCCCCCGTGTGTGTGTGTGTGTGTGTGTGAGAGTGAGTGGGGGTGGGGGTGAGTGGGGGTGTGAGTGGGAGTGAGTGGGGGTGGGGTGAGTGTGTGAGTGGGGGTGGGTGGGGGTGGGGTGAGTGGGTGAGTGGGGGTGGGGGTGAGTGTGTGTGTGAGTGGGGGTGAGTGGGGGTGGGGAGGATGGATGGGGGGGTTCCTCAGGCTCCCTTTTCTCTTACAGGACCACGAGGACCATGTCCGGCTGGGAGTCGTATTACAGAAACGAGGGCGAGGACGAGGAAGAGGAGCAGGACGAGGGGGCAGACGCGGAAGGTGAGCCTCTCGTGGGAGAAGCTGGCACAAGTCCTTCGATGCCGGGGTTCAGGAGCGGGGGGCGGCGTCTTAGAACAGATGCTTTTGTTTCTGCATCGCCCGGATTTCCCCCAAATGCTTCACCCTCCCAAAGAGCTATCCCCTTACAACAAATGAATTAATTTTTAAGAGAGGAAGAAAAAACCCACCAGAAAACCCCGACGTCGTGCGCACTATTCCACACTCGCGGACCCCCGCCTCTGCACAGGCCAGGTGTCTCACATTTCTTCTTTGGGGCTAAACTTGTTTTTTATAATTTTGCATCGTTTGGCTTTTATGGTCTTGTCCTTTTCTCTCTCCTTATTGTTGTGGTCAGTGTGTGTGTTGGTTTCCTGGTCCTGCTTGCTTGGTTTTACATCACAGCATGTCTTCTTTCCATGGTTCTCTTTCTACTTCCTAAAGGGAAAGGTTTCACCTCTCAGCTCTAGGGCAGTCCTTCTTACTCTCCTTCCTGGGGCGATCCTGTCCCCGCCATCCGGCTTCCTCTACAGCCTCCTGCCTGATAATGCCAAGTCTGGGAAAGTATTGTGAGAATTCCCAATCATAAAAGCCCTCAGAGTAAGGGGCCACCAAAGAAGGGAAAGTCTCACCCTGTACTTGGCCTGCCTCTTTTTTGACATTAACATTTCACTTCGTATCACGTTTATCTGTGCATTTTTTTTTTTTTTTTTTGCACAGTGCCTTTCCCTCAAGAAGGTGTGCAATAAATGATGTTTTGAATTGGGGCAATCAGAAAAGGCTTCCCTCCCCCCAAAGGGGTGCAATGACCAGAGTGGAAGGGCATTAAACCCCAATAAGACAGTTTTGCTCCTTGTAACTCTGCCTTGGGCCCAGCCTGGACCTGTTACATTTCCTTACCCACTGGTTCCTTTCTGCTGACCCTCAAGCTGGAGTCATGTCCTTTAAAAAAAAAAAAAGCCTCAGGCTAGACCTTGGATTCCATCTTTTAACTCCACAAATTACAAAGTGGTGTGAGCATGTTTTTTATGGTGTCTTCTCTTGGTGACATTTGTTGTAATTTGGCTTTTCTGTCTGACTGCCACACTGGTGCCTCCATGGGGGAAACATGATCAATGTGTAAAGTAGGTTCTGAAGAGCAGTTATACCCTTTGTACAGTGTAGACACTGTGTGCTCTACTCCTTTACCGATAAGTACTTCATGGAGCAAGGAAAGGGCCTAGATGAGCCATAAACAAAGTGGGAGCCCACCCCCCCATCCCATTGAGAGTGGATCTCCCACCCCTACCCCAGTTGTAACTTTACTTTCTGAGCCCTGAAGAAAGAGATTGGCTTAGATAATTTCTGAGGTCCTTTCTAGTACCAGAATTGTGTGATCTTTAAAAATAACCTTCTGAACCAGAAGGACTGGGCCAAGGGATGTATTGGGAGGCATATTTCATTTTGTTCAAGGAGGAAGAACTTAGAAACGTTAGAATCACCCAAGCATCAATTGGCAGCATTTATCTGACACCTGCTGTGTGCCCAGGTGATGTGCTGGAGCCACAGGTACACAAGGGAAGCCAGGGTGCTGCTTTGGCTGCTTCAGGAGCACTTAGAACCTGCAAGTGTGAAATGAGTAGATTTGGGAGGGAGATAAGACTACAGTGAGTTGAAAGTTACTCCCAAAGTCTTCTGTTAGGGATCATCTGTGACCCCAGGAGACATGCTATTACTGGTATTTAAGCCATTAAGGTCTTTTTTTTTTTTAATTAAAAAGAAACCATCTCAGTCTTTAACAGTTGCAATATAAATTCAAATTGTTTTTAAATATTTTCCCTTTGAAGGAAACTATAAGTATTCTGGACGGGACAGTTTGATTTTCTTAGTTGACGCCTCCAAGGCTATGTTTGAGCCCCAGGATGAAGATCAAGGAACTTCTTTTGACCTAACCATCCAGGTAAGGTTACCTTTTACATACAAACAAAGCTTAAACTCTGGAATGGCTGTGCTCGAAAAGCTGACATGATTTAATTAGCTAAATTAGTCATCTAGAGCATGAGATGCCCCTTTTTTTAAGGTTTTAGAATTCTGAATTTAATGAACACCCCAAAAAATTCCATATATAAAATGGTACAGAAAAAGAATCTTATATATGAAAATACATATCAGTTGCTTTCAAAGCTGTCCTCCTTGCCTGTTTCTGAACTTCAGTTATATATATATATTTTTTTTAAGCTTCAATAACTCCTTTCAGGGGTGACGCTATTGCTTGATTTCCTTTTCCTTCCCTTCCTCCCTGCCCAAAAAACGAAACAAAAACAGTCTGTGTAACAAATAAGCATAGTCAGGCAAAACATATCCACCTGTTTGCCAGGTCTCCAAAATTCTGCACCTTGGCATCATCTCGCCTCCCCCCAGGTTGGGAGCCCTCTGGAGTTGCAATTGATTACTGCATTGATAAACGTAATTGTTTTTATTATTTGGTGCATAGGCTATCTTTTTGTGTCATTTAAATATGATAAGATTTCTGCATGTATTGTAGATAATAAATTGCTCAATTCTCTTTTCGATACATTCTGGTAATCCTTCTTATTGAGGAGTTCAGTCTTTAAACATTTAAGAAATGTTAGATTTGACCAGTCTGCCATTTTTAGTTTGCTTTTTTTTGTCAGAAGGGAGCATAGACTTTCTTGTTTGAATTTTTTTCATATCAGATCAGCTCATGAAGGTTACAACCCTAGATGAGGCTTCCCACCTGTTTTTCTGTGGGATGGTTCCCATCCCTGATGTGTGTGTGTGGTATTTTACCACCAGCACCCTTTACTCACCCCACCTGTCTCCCTTACACATTTCACTGTCTGCCTGCCATTATCTCGAGGCATCAGCATTGGTGACCTCAGAGTCCTGTCCTGTGTTCTATCAGTGCCAGGTATGGTCCATCCCCTTTTCTCTCACATGGCTGCATACATCCTCATTCTAGCCATCATCATCATCTCTTAGCTGCACCGCCTAGCTTCTAGCCTCTCTTCATCGATGCATCCTCCACACCGAAGTCAAAATAATTGTCCAAAGGCACAGCCTTGGCCATGTCATTTTCCTGATCAGAACCCCTCCGGAGCTCCCATTGGCCTCTCAAGTAGCATATAAACACTTTGGCCTTCAAGGCCCTCCATGGGCTGGGTCATACTTATTTCATACCACTCCCCTTCATGTACTTTTCGTTCTAGCCAAACTCAACTTCTAGCCGTTACTGAAACTTAACATCTGTGTGTTTGGGGAAAAAAAAAATCACCCTGACCATTGAAATTTGCCCTCCTTACCCCTCCCTCTCATATTCTTGGTTTTCCTTACAGACTTAACTGGTGCTACCTACCCCTATATTTTATTGATGTCTTTTTTTTTTAAATGAGCTTTTTTTAATTAATTTATTTTGATTTATCAACAATCACATCCATATGCTTTTGAGTTTAAAATTTTTCTCCCCCTTCCTCCCCACCAGCCTCCCCAAGACGGCGCACAATCTGATGTAAGCTATACGTATACATTCCTATTAAACATATTTTCACATTAGTGATGTTGTAAGTAAGAATTAGAACCAATAGGAGGAGCCACCAGAAAGAGAAAACAAAACTCAACAGAAGAAAAAAAAATATAGCAAATAGTATGCTTCAGTCTGCTTTCAAACTCCATAGTTCTTTCTCTGGATGTGGACAGCGTTTTCCATCGTGAGGCTTTTGGAGATGTCTTAGATCCTTGTATTGCTGAGAAGGGTTAGGTCTATCAAAGTCTGTCATCGCACAACGTGACTGTCACTGTGTACGACGTTCTCCTGGTTCTGCTCACTTCACTCAGCATCAGTCCATACTGGTCTTTCCAGGTTTTTCTGAAGTCAGCCTGTTCATCATTTCTTACAGCACAATAGTATTCCATTACATTCATAGGCCACAGTTTGTTCAGCCATTCCCAAGTTGATGGGCATCCTCTCAATTTCCAATTCTTTGCCACCACAAAAAGAGCTGCTATGAATACTTTTGTATGTGTGGGTTGTCTTTTTTTTTCTTCAGTTCCCTTCCTGTTGAACCTTATGACGCTGAGAAAATCAGGTCACTAAAAAAGCTAATACAGTGGCTGTTATCTGACAAGGAAGGCATACGGTATTTTGCCCTAGTAGCCCCCCAGCTCTGCTGTGAAGGAGGGGGCGTGTTTCATCATTTGTTCTCTGGGGCCAGCACTGATTTTTTTTTTTCCCCCCTTTCTGGTCGCCTTTTTGGGATCTGTCATGTATGTCATTATAGTCATCCTGTGTAATTTCTCTTGGGACTGATGATTGCATCAGTTCTTACAGATGTCCCTGCGGTTCTCTAAATCCTCTAAAACTTTTGTCGTGGCTTACTGCACAGTAATATCATGTTTGTTTTGTGGTGCTTAGCTTTTCCTGCCTGTCTTCAGTCTGTGGACAACCACATTGGTTCCGGTGTTTTGCTGACAAAAAGAGTAATGTTTAAATGTTTTGGTGTATATTGGACCTTTTTTTCCCTGTCTTTGACTTCCTCGGGCCGTACGCTAGGTCAGTGGGAGTGGATGATTTCAGTATTTGTGTAATTCAGGTTCCGATCCCAACAGTCAGCCTGCTTCCCTGCTGCCGTCAGCACGACAGGACTCCATTCTGTCTGTCCGTCCACAGCTGCTCCGCCGTCCTCCATTCCCAGTGGTGGTCATCTCTAAGGACCAGGTGAAGCCTTAGAATTATTTTAGTTTGCATTTCTTTTACTGTTAACTATGTGGAGCGTTTTTCATACGCTCATTTATAGTTTGCAGATTTTCTTTTGGATGTCCTTTGAACATTTATCTATGTGGGAACGGCCCTTGATGCCTGCGATGTTTGTGTGGTGGATATCGGACCATTATCACTGACATCTGATGGAAATATTTTTCTTTGCTCTATCGTTTCTCTTGTGATTCTCTCTTCCTTGACTTTATTCACGCAAAAGCTTTTTCTTTATTTTTTCTTTTTTTTAATTAATTTTGATTTATCAACAATCACTTCCATACGCTTTTGAGTTTTCTCCCCCTTCCTCCCCACCACCCTCCCCAAGATGGCGCACGCAAAAGCTTTTGAAAATCTTTTGTAGTCAAAATTGTCTTTTTTTAAGACTTTGATGGTCTCTTCTCCCCTTTCTTTGGGTATGAATTCTCCACGTAGCTGCAGTTGTTAAAGGCGCTGGATCGCATCCTCTTCTCATTGTTCTTCTGGTGTGACCCTATACACTCAGGTTGTGGATCTGTTTTGAGTTTTTGGAGGCATGTGGCATTAGATGTTTGCCTCAGCCTGATTTCTGGCCATCACCTTTCCTGTTTTCCCTCAGTTCCTGTCAGACTGGGTGTCCTTCCCCCAGCAACAAGCTCAGGCTTTGCTGTGGATTGTTTGAAAGCCGACTGGACTTGTGCTCCTTGGTCACGGTCATGTGTACCCTTCCTGGTTCTGCCTCGCCGACCTGAAGGTTGGATGCCTCATGTAGCCTGTCTGTTCCAGAGCTGAGTTAGGTTTCTACAGGCTACGTAGTATGTGCTTCATTGGACCTGTTGTGTACATGATAGCATTTATTCAGTACTTTCAGATCTTTAGCTGAGAATTTGTGATCATTGATGAAAAATAGTAGAAGAACTTGGTGAATATGAACCTCTGTGCTCCACCCACCTGGCTTTTCATTAGGATTATACTTGAGAAGAGATTACATTTGGGACGATGACTTCATGAAGACCCAGTGTCTTTCCTGACCCTCGATTGCCTGTAAGCCTGGGCCAGTGACAGGAGGCTCCATAGACAGATGCCTGTTATTTCATCTTTAGGGTGTCTTCATGTCGAGACTGAGAATCACAGATTTGAGGAAGTTGTGTTTTTCTTGCAACCCTCGTAGGCTGGCTTTCTCTGGGAGTGGCAGCTTCAACCTGAAAGAGCTCTATCGTCTCTGTTCCCAGGAGTTTTCCTTTTGTATAAGGCTAATCTCACCAAGAGCAGACCCAGAGATGGGCAGGGGTCAACTTGATTTTGAGGAGAAGGTTGATTTTGGGATGTTGTATGGTGCTCTTAAGGACCACTCTTGGTGGGGAGAGGAGGAAGAGAAGTGGCGTGTGTGCGTGTGTGTGCGCGCGCGTGTGTGTGTACGTACGCACGTACGCATGCGTGCATGCTCTCAGGGGATATGGGTGGCTAGCCACTTGTTCGTCCCCTTTGTATTGCTGCTTTCTGGTAACCATGAGAAAATGATTTAAAAAAAAAGACAAATGGCCATTCTGTAGTAATAAAAGGGCTCTCTGAGGACCACGTGTGGTGTCGTGGGTGCCTGGAGCAGCTTGAGATGCTGGATGAGTCACAGGAGGGTGGGGTCCGCATGAAGCAGATCCCAGGAAAGATGAGGTAGAGATTGGGTCACCCCAAGTGGGCTGGAGCCCCAAGTGCTCTCATCCTTCGGCCCTCTGCCTTCGGGCTCACAGCGTGGGTGCTCGCGGCCTGTTACGCTCACTCTGGGCGGAGGAGCTGACAAACCACAGCCAGCCCAGGCATGGCTTAGCAGATGACAGGCAAAGTAGTCCACACTGGCCTTGCATTTTAGAATCTCAAAGAAATCTGGGGCCGTTGTCCCTCCTTCCCCCACCCCAGATCCATCGTCTCATTACCTAAGTGAAGAATGACTTCAGGTTCAAACAGCAGGGAGCACATTGCCTCCTGGAGCTCATAAAAGTCTGGGACGTGGGCCACGGCTGAAAAGCCAGCAGATTGATGGCTTTGTAATGGCCGTCTGAGCTAGACTCTCACTGGAACCAGGCTGTGCTGTGACTTTCTGATTATAGTAGACTTTGCCCTCCTGGGAAGAGGCTTGGGGCTAGTCTGGTTTGTGGCTCGTGCCACATGGATGTTTAGTCCAGGATTGTTGCTACCCTTTCCCTCCCTTCCATCTTACTAAGAGCTGCTCATGGTAAAGAAGGTGCCTAATTTGCTCTAGTCTGAGCTGCCCAGGAGGTGGTGGGCATCCGGGGAAGGCTGTGACCACATCTCAGGCTGCTGCAGATGCAGCCTACCTGCCCAGGGATGGGCTAGACCAGCCCCCCTCCCCCTGGGAGTCTGTGAAATATGGACTGTGCAGTGCCCCCAGCGACCCCCCAGCCAGGGGGATTCTTCCGTGATTGGTGTCTCTCCGTTTTGCTTCTCTCCCTCGAGCTCTGTACTTTTCTCCTGGTGTCCCCAGGGCTCAGCCGTGGGCTTTGCCTGTAGTAAGGGCCTAATGAGTGGATTGGAAGTGACTCTTCCTTGGTGTCCCCTCTCTGTGCTTTCCCTCAGTGCATCCAGAACGTGTACAGCAGCAAGATCATTAGCAGTGACCAAGACCTCCTGGCCGTGGTCTTCTACGGCACGGACAAAGACAAGAACTCGGTGAATTTCAGAAACGTTTACGTTCTCCATGAGCTGGACACCCCAGGTATGCCGCACTGAGATGGTCGCGGCTGTTTCTGCTCTGCGGGAGAATGGGAGGCACAGGGGCTCTGAGGACCTGGGTTCAAAGGCTGAGTGCTGCTGTGCTGGGGCTCTCGGGGCCTCGGCTCCCCACTCTGCACTAGGTGATGAGATGAGTGAGGTTCTTTCCAGCTGTAAATCCTACTCCAGGTCATCCGTGTCTGAACCGGAGGGGTGAAGGATGCGAACAAGTTGGGTGTCCTGCCTTTGATAGGATTCTGTGTCCCCTTTTCAAAGCGAATCCTCGGACTCTCGGCATAGGATTTAAGAGGGCCTGGGCTTGGAGGAAGCAGCCTGCCCCTTGAGAGCAGGCATCGGCTGTACCCGAGACCCTGCTCACACAGGGTGTGTGCCCTGTTACCTCGGGGCTGCCCGCCTTTTCCTTTTCTGTTGATCTCTTCCTTTTGGCCCCCACTCCTAGGTGCAAAACGAATACTTGAGCTTGACCAGTTTAAGGGAAAGCAAGGAGAGAAACGCTTCCAGGAGCTGATTGGCCAGGGCTCAGACTATTCCCTGAGCGAGGCCCTCTGGGTCTGTGCCAATCTCTTCAGCGGGGTCCGGCTGAAGATGAGCCACAAGCGCATCATGCTCTTCACCAATGACGACGACCCCCACGGCAGCGACAGTGCCAAGGCCAGTCGGGCCAAGACTAAAGCCAGTGACCTCCGGGACACAGGTGGGTGAAGCCGCTGAGGTCTGGGGCGTGGGAGGTGAGCGTGTGGAAATGGCCACCACTGGCAGGCCCAGCATGTAGAGGATTGGGTTCAATGAGAGCATTTGTTTCTATGCTTTAGAGAGATGACAGGTAAAAGTCCTGCGTTTCAGCATTGGGGGATCGGAGGTCTCTGTTGCAGGAGGAATTTCTCAGCAGCGTTTATTAAGTACCAGCTGTGTGCTGGACATGGAACTTGGTTCTGGAGATACCAACGCAAAAAAATGAAAACCTCCCTGCCCTCCAGGAGCTTCCACACCCAGTCTGTTAGGCTGCTCTGCCTGCAGGGCAGATTGTGCTCAGAGCGGTCCTCTCCAGGGCTCTCCCGCCTCACTGCTTAAGGCAGCCCTTTAAAAAGCAGAGTTGAGGTTAGTGGCAGAAGTGGGGTTATGGGGGGCCGGTATTAATCTCCCTCACCACTTCCTTCTGCTCTGCCACCAGGTATCTTCCTCGACCTTATGAACCTGAAGAAGCCTGGGGGGTTTGACATTTCCTTGTTCTACAGGGACATCATCACCCTAGCCGAGGACGAGGAACTCGGGGTTCACTTTGAGGAGTCAGGCAAGCTGGAGGACCTCCTGAGGAAGGTTCGGGCCAAGGAGACCAGGAAACGCTCTCTGGCCAGGTGAGCCCGCAGACAGCCCCAGAGGTTTTCCGTCTCTGCTGGCCGTTTGTGCTGGGTCATCTTGTGGTCAGCCCGTAGCCCGTCTGTGACAGAAACATTCTCTTTGAGTCTCGTGGTTTGCTGTTCTTGTTGGGTGGGCCAAGGAGGCATTTCTCCTTCCTGTGCGAAAGAAGCCAGTCTCCTGTTGTGTTAGGCCCAATACAGACCTTGCTGATCACCTTCCCTCTCTCGGGGGACCTTGAAGGCAACCTGAAGTGGCCATTCCATTGACCAGGTTTTGCAGAGGTCTTTGCTGCTGTTGGAGGCCTCTCCTCCTGCCTCCCTGCTCGCACTTGCCATTAGCTCTGGGCCGGGGTTTCTGGGCATCAGACTTTAGAAGGTTGTTGGGAGAGAGTGCAGGGGCTTCCTGGCAATTCTGTGAGCTTTGGGGGTGCCTCTGAACTTCTCCATGGCCAGGTCTGTGTTTCCTCTGCGCCATCTGCCCTCTCCAGACTCTGGCCTTGGAGCAGAACGACAGCGGTGGTCTGTCTCTCTCTTTTTCTTTCATAAAAGGTAGAAGTGAGGCGTGAAGAACTGCAGAATGAAAAAGGTAGATTTGGTGTGGGTGCAGGGGCTTGGGGCACCTTTCATTCTCTCTCGCCTAACTCTGGTCTGTGATGTTTTCACTGGAGAGTCCATACCTGGTTACCTAGAACCCTCCAGATGTGGAGGGCCTCTTCCCGAGAGCACACCGCTCACCAGGCTTCCAGGGAAGGCTAGACTCCAGATCTCCTCCCGGGCATAATGACACTCCCAGCGCTGTTGCACCGGGCTGGTTCCAGAGCTCTTTTCTTCACAGCCCAGGGAAGGTTCACTTTAGTGTCAAACCTGTTTTAGAGATGAGAAGACTGAGGTTATGTGAACTGCCCAAAGCTCCTAGGTCTCAGGATTTGAACTCAGGTCCTGTGCCTTATAGTTTTGTCCTTTTGCCTCTGCATCATGTTGCCTTGAAGCATCTTCTCTTGGAAGTTAGTCCTCCATGTAGGAACAAGCCTGGCAGGAGCTTCACTGTTCTGGGAAGTGCCATGTTTAAAATGGGCTCCCCAAAAATGCCCCCAGCAGAGCACTGTCCACACTTGGTGCAGAGCTGGTGAGTGGGATGGGACCCAGGCGGAGTTACCAAGGAGAAACCCTACCACTTTCTTAACATGAGACGGGGTGCCCAGGTGCATGGAACGATTGGGCCTGGAGCCAGGAAGGTCTGAGTTCAAATCCTGCCTCAGATACTTCCTAGCTGGGTAGCCCTGGGTAAGTTACTGAACCTCTGCCTCAGTTCCCCCATCTGTAAAATGGAGATCATAATGGCACTTACCTCCCAGGGTGGTTGTGAGGATCAAATGAGTAAATCAGCTTACAAATCTTAAAATGATGCCGATAAGCTAGCTGCTATTATCCTTATTTTTATCATTAAGTCCTTTCTGGCTCTGCTTTTTCTCCTCAGGCTGAAGCTGAAGCTGGGCAGGGATGTGGCCCTGACTGTTGGCATTTTTAACATGGTCCAGAAGGCCTTCAAGCCTCCTCCCATCAGGCTTTACCGGGAAACAAACGAACAGGTGAAAACCAAGACCCGAACGTTTAGCGTGGACACTGGCAGCTTGCTTCTTCCCAGTGACACCAAGAGGGCCCAGGTAACTCCTTCGTGCTTCTGGGGTGTTTGTTGCGGTGGGGTGCGGGGATTGGGTTAAGTGACTTGCCCAGGGTCACACAGCTAGTAAGCGTCAAGTGTTTGGTCTGAGGCTGGATTTGAACTCAGGTCCTCCTGACTTCAGGGCCGGTGCTTTATCCACTGAGCCACCTAGCTGCCTCTTTTTCTCTTCTTTTTAAAAGAAAAAAAAAAAACACCAAAATCCTCGAACAAACATGCACAGTCAGGGAAAACGAATCCCCGTGTTCTCCATGCCCTACACAGCATGTCTCCTCCATCCCAAATCCACCTTGTTCTAGCCGAGCTATAAAAATGAGATCTAGTCCCTGGAGTCATGTTGTCTCGGGGTAGGGGAGCACGTGCTGGAGCGCTGATATTCAGAGAGCTGGCGTCTCTCAGCAGGGCACCGAAGATCTTCACTGTCCTCCGGTGCAACCACCTCGCTCTCACCAAGGTGTTGAACGGGGCCATTCCTTTGTCTTCGTAACCCCAGTGTCTGGCAGCAGTGCTTTGCACCCCCCCCCCCCCCCCCCCAACCCCGTCTATGTTGAATCAAATCCGAGTTTTCAGGCATCTCCACTGGAGATGGCCTCCCAGACCCTGAGCGGGTGTGGCTGTGCGAAGGTTAAAGCCCTCACACAGCTCACTTGAAGGACGAGGCCCTCGTGATCGTGTTTGGGGAGCAGGGCTCGGTACGGTCTGCTGGGGGAATACCACTCTGCCCAGCCCCCTTGACTCCTTGTGGTTTAACGTGGCCCGAAGGAGAGGCTGATGGCACAGGGCTGAGTGTAGAACAACTGCTTCTGGTCCTGGGGCCGTGTCCCTTTCCATCTCTTTGATCTGTGAAATAGGTTTGGGGACCTTGTAGTACAAAGATGAAAGAATGTTAAGTGGAATGTGGCCTTCCATAAGAGGAATGGGAGAGTATCTGGGATTTGGACAAATGCAGGCTGAGATAGGAATGAATCTGGGAGGACCAGTGCACGAGACCAAAACCAGGCCTTGTGTGGATTGGTGTCCGGGTGGTCAGCAGCAGCATAGGAGGAGGAGCAACCTTGGTCTTGGAGGAGACGGGCATCCCAGCGGCTGTCTCCGGTCCATTTATCTTCATTCCACAGGGGCCACTCTTTTTCAGAGCCAGAGGCAGGAAGGAGCCAGCTCATTCATGACATTATGTGGTTTTTTTTCCCCTACTTAATGGTATTTTATTTTTTCCAGTTACACGTAAAGATAGTTTTCAACATTCACTTTTATACTATTTTGAGTTCCAAATTTTTTTCTCCCTTCCCTCCCCAAGATGGCAAGCAATCTGATATAGGCTATACATGTGCAATCATATAAAATATATTTCCACATTAGTCGTGTTGTGAAAGAAGAAATAGAACAAAAGGGAAAAACCAGGAAGAAGAAAAAACAAGTGAAAATAGTGTGCTTCGATCTACATTCAGACTCCATAGTTCTTTCTCTGGATGTGGGTAGCACTTTCCATCATGAGGCCTTTGGAGATGTCTTAGATCCTTGTATTGCTGAGAAGGACCAAGTCTATCAGTGTTAGTCATCACACAACGTGGCTGTTACTGTGTACAACGTTCTCCTGGTTCTGTTCTCTTCACTCGGCATCAGTCCGTACAAGTCGTTCAGGTTTTTCTGAAGTCTGCCTGCTCATCATTTCTTATAGCACAGTAGTATTCCATTACATTCATAGACCACAACTTGGTCAGCCATTCCCCAACTGATGGGCATCCTCTCAATTTCCAATTCTTTGCCACCACAAAAAGAGCTGCTCTAAATACTTTTGTACATGTGGGTCCTTTTCCCATTTGGATAATCTCTTTGGGATATAGCCCCAGAAGTGCTATTGCTGGGTCAAAGGGTATGCAGTTTGATTGCCCTTTGGGCATGGTTCATGACATTATTTGATTCTGGGTTATTTCCTTTTATCTTAAGCACCTAAGAAAGCCTGTGCACATGAAGCTAAAGCAGGGTTTTCTTCAGTCATTTGCATTCTGGTTTCCGTTCCGAGCCACCCAAAGCTGGGGCCAGGTGAACTGAGCGTGGTTTGGGGTTTGATAATGGAGGAAGCGACCCACAGGCCTTGTCCTGCTTCTGGGCCTTCCCTCCCGAGGCCGCTCTTCTTTCAGATCTACGGAGGCCGTCAGATTGTGATGGAGAAGGAGGAGACGGAGGAGCTGAAGAGGTTTGATGAGCCCGGCTTGGTTCTGATTGGCTTCAAGCCTCTCTTTATGCTGAAGCAGCACCATTTCCTCAGGCCGTCTCTGTTTGCATACCCAGAGGAATCCCTGGTTAATGGTGAGTGAGGGGGTTGGACTGCCCACAAAGTCAGCCACAGGGGTTCTTGCCATTTTGGGGTCATGGGATTCCTAAATGAATGAAATAAAATAGATGGGCTTACAGAGGAAACCGATTGTGTTGAAATACAGTGATCAGAATAGTAAGAGAGCAAGGTCGTGGACTCCACGGAAGAGCACTGGGTTCATGCCTGCCACAATTCCAGGCACTCCTGATGAAATGTAGAGAGGTGATGGATTGAGAGGGCAGGTGGACGTACGTTTGATTTGGCCGTGGCCAGTGCAGGCCTTTGTTTTATTTAACTGCACGTGTTTGTTAACAGGGCTTTTATTTTCCTTTTTTCCCTCAATGCAGATGGGGTGGGGTAGGGTGGAGTGGGAATGAAAGAAGGCAGATTTTCATTGTCTGAAAACAATAAAATTTAATTACAAATTTTTTTAAAAGAACCCCTGGTTTACAGAGTGATCCAGGATTGTCGTCCTTCAGAGTGTGTTTGACCCTTTTGTTGTCAGGACCCAGGCTGGCCCTCCTTTCTGATGAGGGCAACGAGCCATTAAACCTGACGCCGTGGAGGCTCGTGCTGACGTGGACCCGGGTAGAGGAAACTGAGTTAACTAAGTCACTTTTTAAAAAATTTTTTTTTAATTCTCAAATGTTCACTTGTTTCCCTCCCTCCTCTGCCCGGGTGAAGCCCTTCTCGCGGCGATGTCCCGAGCGACCAGAAAAGTGTGCCTGACTCTGCTCTTGTGGGCCAGGGGGTGGTGCCCAGCTCTGAGCGGGGTTCTCCAGCCTTCCCACGTTGTGTATCTTTATACTGTTGTTACTTTATTAGTTTTTAGTTGTCTGTTTTTTGCAGCATTTCAGACAAGGCTTCCCAAACTACTCATAAACTCATTCTGGGGGTTTCCCTACCTTGCCCTCTACCCTGGAATACTAATTTTAAATACATCATTGTTGGGGAGAGAGGTGGAAGATGCATTTATTGAGCACCTCCTACTTGCCAGGCACTATGCTAATGTGCGTGTTACACATATCTCAAAATCCTTGTGACAACCCTGGGAGATAAATGCTGTTATTACCCCCATTTTGCAGATGAGAAAACTGAGGCAGACAGCGGTGAAGTGACTTGCTCAGGTTCCCTCAGTTATTAAGTGCCTGAGGCCAGATTTGAACTCATTTCTTCCTGACTCCTGGCCCAGTTGCCTAGGAGCACAGCTGTGCAAATCCTTTGAAATCTTGACCTTTAGGGCTTTTCCTCCCCAGGAAGTACAACACTGTTCACTGCTTTACTCACCAAGTGCCTAGAGAAGGAGGTGTTGGCACTGTGCAGGTACACCCCCCGCCACAATAGCCCCCCATACTTCGTGGCCCTGGTGCCTCAGGAGGAGGAGCTAGATGCCCAGAGAGTCCAGGTGGCGCCTCCAGGTAAGCAGACATGACACCCCCAGCCCCTGTGCCTTCCCTGTGGCTGGTCTGGCCAAGGTGCTTGGCACGTGGCTCTCCACCTTGCCTGGGATGTTCTGGGCAGACTACATTTGGGACCCTGCTTTGTATGCCTGTAGGCTTTCAGCTCGTCTTCCTGCCCTATGCTGATGACAAATGGAAGGTGCCCTTCACTGAGAAAGTCACCGCCAACCCGGAGCAGGTGGACAAGATGAAGGCGATCGTGCAGAAACTGCGCTTCAAGTACCGGTGAGCGAGGGCCGCCTCGAGAGAGGAGCGGTGCATGGGCAGAGGGCAGAAGCGGAGGACCCGTGGGGGCCGGCCTGGCCGTGATGGACCATGTAGCCCTCACTGAGGCAGTGCCCAGCAGGCAGAGCTTGGGAACCTGGGGGTCCCTGGGAGGGATGTCTTCCAGGTCGTTTTCTTGTCACTTTGGAGAAGCCACGTAAACAAATGAGTGACTTGGGAAGCGCGGGGGTTGTCTAGGGGCCATTGCTGCCCCCCGTGTTGAGCAGAGTTGTGGGGTCCTTGCAGAGAAGGACAGCAATGCCCCAAGCTCCTGCCAGCGGTCCAGGCCTCGCTGCTGCTGCTGCTGTTAGCGGGGCTTGGATTTCCTTTAGAACATAAACATAGATGGTTAGTGCCAGGGGTCGAGTATGAGAGTGCAGAGTCTGGGCCATCTCGGGCCAAGGGTCTGACTTTTCAGCCTTGGCCCCTTAAACACCGCTGCAGATGGGAGTGGGGTGCCTCCACGCCGCCTGCCCACCTCCGATCCTCTGCCCCTCCTGTCCATGTGGGCCTGGCTGGGCTCTCGAGGCCGCCTCGCTGGTGCCCAGATGGGAGGGATTGGCTTGCTTGGGGTCACATAGGGATTAAGTGGCACTTCTGCCTGCTTGCATCGGGGGTGTCTGGGGGGCATCTCCCCCCTTCCCCACACTGGCGCCTGTGCCGCCCACCCCCAACAAGACCTGAGGGCTGGATGCAGCTGGGTGCGCTTGTGCACTGGCCCTAGTCTCTGCTCATCGTGGCCTGCGGCTGGGCTTTGGCTTCTAGGAGCGACAGCTTTGAGAACCCCGTGCTGCAGCAGCATTTCAGAAACCTGGAGGCCTTGGCCCTGGACCTGATGGAGCCTGAGCACGTGCCAGACCTCACACGTAAGGCGCTGTGCTCCCACGTGGGGAGGCTCTGAGCGGGGTTTTGTGATGCTTGCTGTGGGATCCCCCCATGAGCAGAGTGGCCTCTGCCAGGGGACTGAGGGAAGGGGCTGGAGAGGGGGCCGGGGGTTCCCTCGTCTGTCTCCAGGCCTCCCCTGCGGGATGCTCGTTCTGGTAAAAGAGTCCGTGGCTACAGAAACACACAGCCTTTGGCTGGTGAGGGAGGCGTTCCCGTGTTCTATCCAGCCCTTCGGCACCTGGGGCAGTCATTTTTCCTGCCTGGACTCCCTCACCTTTAAGACGAGATGCCATCTGTAGTCATGCCCAACTCGCGCTCAAGGCCGTCTCCCCGAGTCTGCCTTTTGCCCCTTGGGTTCCGATAATAGTTCATGTACCCTGTGTGTTTGCGTATTGTCCTTCTTCTAAGAGTACGAGCTGTTTGAAGGTGGGCCTTGGTTCTGCTCTTTTGGCCCCTGGGCATGTAGCACACAGTGCATGCAGTAGTCACTTAATATTTACTGGTTGAGTGACTGTCTAAAGTGGCGATGTAGGGTAGACAGAACCGTTGAATCGGACCATTCACCTTGGAGTCGGAGGATTTAGAATTAGATGAGGCTTCTGACACCCTCTGGTTTAGCCCCTTCGTTTTACAGATGGGGGAGCAGGGCCCGCTGCAGGGACGCAGCCTCAGCCGGGCCTAAGTCCGTGCTGCCCTTGGGCAGCCGAAGAGAGCGCGCTGCCTCGGGAGAGGGCTGTGGTTTGCAGGCCCGTGTCTTACCTCCCTGGCCTCGGCTTCCTCTTCCCTGTAAGAGACGCCATTGTGTGCACAACCTGTGATGTGCTGAGGGTCACACCAGGTGATGTCGGACATCCTCTGCTTGGTGCTCAGCTGTCCAGGGCTGGATGAAGGTCAGCCTTCGGGGACGGTGGGCAGAGCAGGCCTTGCCGGTCTGGCCCCGAGTGGAGGAGCTGCTTCCTCTGTGGTCATGGCCATAACGCTTCCTGGGGGGATGACCACGGAACGCTAGCTGTTGCTCTCTGACTCTACCCAGGGCAGATTTGCAACTGAGTCACGGAGACTTTGGGGCTGGCTTGAAAACATAAATGCTTTTATTTTTTGTTCGGGGCTCCGGTTTGTGAAGCCCCTCGATGGGTGGGTTGGGTGATGTCCTAGCCCAGTGCCCCCCCTCAGATGACCCAGGGGCAAACTAGAAGGCTCTGTGTGTAGGCCCCCAGGGAGCTCTGGTCCCACCAAGCCCAGAGGCTTGCACAGTGCTGCTCCACTTGCTCAGGGGGAAGGGCTGCCTGCACCAGTCAGATCCCAGTGCCCTGCGTAGTGATGGGGCCATCTTGGCTGTGACCTTAGGGATGGCCCAGCTCCCCTCACTTTGTAGAAGTGCCTCCCGTTAATAGAGGTGTACGGCTGCACCTTCCCTCACTTGGTGCTCAGTCCAGCCCTGAAAAGGGACAGCGGAAGAATCCAGACATCAGGGTATGGTGCATCGCACTGTGACTGTCCAAAGGCCTGGTTTCTAAGTATGGCTTCACCACTTACTTACCTTGGGCGAATCACACCACCTTTCCTGGCTTTAGTTTCCCTGTCTTTGAAATGAAGGGCTTGGACCAGTGTAGAGGGGCAAGGCAGGGTCTGGAATCACATCCTGCCCCCCCACAGGCCTTGTCACTTTGGGCCCCAGGTTCTCCCCTGTTCAAGGAGGGCATCGATTAGCAGGTTTCTGAGGTCCCTCTGCCCTCCAGCTCGGCGCCATTGGGCTCCCAGGCCACTGTCCTGTCTTCCCACCACCGCCCTCTATTCTTGCAGTGCCCAAGATTGAAGCCATGGATCTCAGGCTGGGCAGCCTGGTGGAGGAGTTCAAGGAGCTGGTCTACCCCCCCGACTACAACCCGGAGAAGGCAGCGAAGAGGAAAACAGGTGAGGTCTGGTGGCTGGCCCCTCACCCAAGGGGCTGCTCTGCTCTTGCCTTATCAGCCCTCAGAGGTCAGTTAAGGTTGGGAGACTGACAGAAAACCAAGAGGGGGGCAGTGACTGAGGGAGGGCGCACTGAGGGGTCAGTCTTGTTTGGCTCTGGTTGCCAGTCTTTGTCACAGAGAGAAGAGGTAGGTCTCCTCGTCCTCCTCCTCTTCAAGGGTCATCTGGGCTGCGTCCTGGGTCCACCTGCCTTCTTTGCTTTCCCAAAGGCCTCATTTCTTCCTGAGCGCCACTGCTCTGGCGCTGGCTGCCTGGGGGGTCATCTGCAGCTGCCTTAGGTTGTAATCACCTCTGCCCACCCGTGTGTTCAAAACAGAGCTCGCCATTTCCTTTTTCTTCAGATTTCTCTCATTCTGTTGAAATGGGTCACCCTCGGCTTTCTCTTCTCTCTCCTCCCATCCAGGCTTCTGGTCAGTCCCCCTCTAACATAGCTTCTCCCTAACTGGTCTCTATTCTCTTCCTGCAATCCTTCCCCCACAAAGCTGCCAAAATCATCTTTAAACGCACCAGTCTGGTCATCTGCCTCCCCGGCTCAGAAAGTTTCATTGACTCCCTTTGCCTTCAGCTGATGCTCTGAGCCGTCACACTCTGCCTTCAGCCTCCTTCCTATATTCTTTCATGCCCTCTGTCCCAGCCAGATTGGCTGCCGAGAGTCCCACTGATGCCCTCCCCTCGGCCTGCTTGGAGGCTTAGCCTGTGGCCTGACTGTGCCCGCTGCCTGATTATGTGTGAGGTCGGCTGTTTGCCTGTTGTGCCCTCCCCCCAGAGAGTGCTCCTTAGGCTGTTTTTCCCCTCGAACGATGTGTCCCGAGCCCCACACCTTGCACATTGCTTTGTCCTGACCTCTGATTTCTCTCATTGGGGTAAACTGTTCACTGAGGAAGCCCCTTTACCTGTACAGATCGCAGCTGCTCTGCAGAGGTTTCTGGGCCCCTGAGGGCTCGTACAGGCAGTCTGGGCCAGAGGTTCCTGGGACTGGACCCCAGGCCCGGCACCACCCCCTGCAGGCATCCTCAGGTCTCCTGCATTGTGTGAATGCCTGGCCCACATGCCGGGCAGGCTTCCTCCCATCCACCTGCTCTCTCATCTTTTGCAGTGTGACCCTCACTCCCACCTTTCAAACACTGCTCTTGAGGATCACCAGGGATAGGTCGGAGATGTGGCCCCCACTGTGCTGCAGAGGCGGTTTCAAGGCCAAATTTCCCTTTTATATTCCAGAAGAAAAACCTCGTGGAACTGATTTTTCTTATGTGATCCAGTAGAATGTAATTTCCTCAAGGGCATAGACTGTTTTGTCCCCAAACCTAGCACAGTGCCTGGCACATAGTAGGTGCTGTTTTTAAAAGCTTTTTGAATTAAATTTCTTGAAATATAATTGACTGTTTCCTCAGATTTTTCTGGGAGACCAATAGTTCAGGTTTGTGTCTGAGCTTGAAATAATTTAGTTTGAATTCACATGTAGCCCTTCAGTCTTCTATCTGATGATTTATTAGCACAGCCGAGATAAGGGTGGGGTGGTCCTTTCATGGAGAGGGGGGTGGGGGCCTTTGTCCTTCCAGTTCGGTGCTGGGCACACAGTAGGTGCTTAAAGAATGCTGTTGGCTGGCTCCTTGCTCTAAACCCCATGAGCCTACACAACTCTGCCACCTAGCTGACATTCTGGCCTAGTGGGAGAATCCCAGGTCAGTTTTATAAAATGTTCCCTCGAGGCCTTTTTTCCCCCTCACCTTTCCTCAAAACCTCTCCTGTAACCCTTTTCCCCTCCCCCCATCTGGTCTGGGGGCTTCTTTAGAGGCTCAAGAACCCCTCTGCTTCCCATTGCTCCTCAGGTGAAAGGCAAACAGAACTCCTCCAGGGGATGCTGTTCAGTGTCGCCCCAAGCTTTCCCTGCAGCTGAATGACCACGTGCTGACCCTCGTGACATTTCTGGCCAGTCCCACCTGCCCCCCCCCCCCCCTGCTTGTTGCCTCTCCCCAAGTGAAGGTCAGCTGGCTCTTTCTCCTTGGCATTGCACACAGTACTGGCTCTAACGGAGGCTCCCAGCCGGGCTATGGCTCAGGTAGCATCCCTTCATTCTTTGCCTTTCTCATCAACAGATGGCGGTGGTCCTGGAGAGAAACAGCCCAAGCTGGAGCTGTCAGAGGACGAGCTCAGGGCCCACCTTCGGAAGGGGACCCTGGGCAAGCTCACGGTGCCCGTCCTCAAAGAGGCCTGCCGCGTGTACCGGCTCAAGGCCAGCAGCACCAAGAAGCAGGAGCTTTTGGACCTGCTGAAGCAGCATTTCCAGGAGGCCTGATGGGCCCAGGACCCTCATCCTTGCCCCTTGTTGTTTCAATAAAGAGAATTGCTTTTCTTTGGAACCAGATGGTGTCGGGGTTCTCTCCTACTCTTCACGAGTCATTGAAAGCATTTCCCTTTTCTCCCCTCGCTGCCGCTGCCGCTGCAGGGATCTAGACCCAGCCTTGGCCTTCTGAAAGAAATGGAGGCAGGGGAGTGCACAGAGCGGCCCCTTGTCTCCTCTGCAGAGGAGGGTGCCGTAATACCATCGGTTGGGAGGTCCCTCGCGGGGAGCACAGGCCCAGCCCTTGACCTTTCTAGTCCTAGGGGTGATCCCCCTCCCGCCCCTTTGTCTTGTACCCTGGGCTCACACTACACCTGCAGGGAACGCTCCTGACTACATGGCCCTCTGCGAGACATGGAGTGCTCTGGGCAGATCACAGGAGAGGCCAGAAGCGGCTTCTCCGAGAAGGCTGCAGCTTCTTAGCACCAACAGTGACCCAGATCAGGGATTCTTAACCGGGAGTTCCCGAACTTGGAGAGACTCCAGGTTTGGGTCACGTCTGTACCAACGCCAGAAGAGGAATGGGCCCCCAGCTGTGAGAGGGCAAAGCGGGGACTTCACATCCCTATAACCAGCCTGCTGAGGTGCAAGGCAAGTGGGCACCTGGTCTCTGTTCTAGGTAGCAGAGGAAGGGAGTGTGTGTCAGTAGAGTGGGCTGCTACGTGCCAGACACTGGACCGAGGGCCTCCCTAAGGAATGCCATGGTAGCTGTGTCCCTGGCTGCTGGGGACAATTAGGATCAGGACCCTCCTTCCCTCCCCCATCCCCCACAGGTCAGGCTCTCGTGACCTCAGGGCCTGCACAAATGATACCACAAAATAAAGCTTCAAGGGCTGGGGAAAGGAGTGAAGGAAAAAAAAAACCAACCAGTTCTAACAGCCGTAAAAATGTTTAACATTGAAAGTCACCTGAGAACAGTCTCTGCCCGCCATCCTCCTGCCGCCATGGCGTGACCACAGCCCTCCCAGGTCAGAACCCCGGCCAAGCCCCACGGGCTGGCTCACACTAAGAGTCTCTCGATTGACTGCTGGACCGACTGAATCTGGGGCTTCAGCTGGGAACCTTCCTTGATGGTGACGGAGCAGGCGATGACGGGCCGGGAGACGCCACAAGCCCGGCCCAGCGCCTGCTTGGAGCGCACGAACACGTAGGGGACGTTCTTGTCCTCACACAACAGCGGGAGGTGAAGGATGATCTCCAGGGGCTCGGCATCTGCAGCCATCACGATGAACTCGGAGATGCCTCTGTTGAGGGTCTTGGTGGCTGGGGAAGAAAAAGAAAGCTCCAGAAGGAAGATCCTCTCTGGGCAGCCTGAGGAGGACGAGCTAGCAGGACCGACTCCCTTCTAATCACCAGGGCTCCCCTTCCTACTTGTTGGGCTTCCAGAGCGGGGCAGTCAGGGCCCCAGAGAAAACCCAGCACCCTGCTCTTCTAGCGGCCGGCCGAGCTGCAGACCTACGGGGGAATCCCCAGAGTGAGCTCAAAGGGACCGCTTGGTCCAGCCAGGGTTCTGAACCCCAGGTCCGTGAACTCGCACGAGGACAAGAAAGACCCCTTCATTTTCACTAGCCTCTCAATAAAATCTGGCATTTTCTTCACTTGTTTAAAAACACGATTCTGAGAACTGGCCCATCAGCTTCATCAAATCACCACGGGGACCCAGTTACAAAAAAGCGAAGCCCCCAGTGACCTCATTTTACAGAAGGAAGGGCCACCAACCCAGAGCTGGATGGGGACCAGCAGCCCGAGGCCCAGATCTCTGCCACCCACTACCGGGAGGCTGACTTAACCTCTCTGGACCTCAGTTTCATCACCTGTAAAATGGAAGTGTTGGATTGGATGAGCTAAGATTCCTTCCAGCTCTCCATCTATAACTCTCTGACGTGCCTGAAGTCACACAGAATAGTCAAAGGAAAGAGCCAAGCTGGGCATTGAACCCTGAACTACAGACCTCTTCCCTCTCTAGGGACTCAGTCAGGGTCTGGGTGAGAAATGCCCTACCCAGTCACTCACCCCACCAGATACACGAGAAGCCCTCCAAGCTTTGTCCATGGAATCAGAAATGACATCCAAGTAACAGCTTCCCCCCCTGCTGTACCCTAAAGTCCCTGGGGGCCTCTCCCCCCATGGGCAGAGCTCCAGGTATTGTCCCCCTCCTCAGAATGGGAGCTTCTTGGCAGCAGGGGTGGCCCTGGATTTGTATCCCTGGAGCTCGGCCCACATCTCCCCGCTCCCCATCCCAGCCTGATCAGCCTTGCATGCCACCCTTCCCCAAGCAGGAAGGCCAGTGGCACGTGCCAGCCAGCGCCTCACCTTCATTGGCGCCCTTCCGGAGCTGCTTGTAGTTACAGGATTGCTGTACCAGGTCCAGAAGCTTTTTGGTGAGCTGGGCATCAGCCAACGGGTAAGCTTTGGGGTTCACTTCAGCCTCAGTCTGGGAAAGGGGAGGACAGTTGGGGTCAAGGTTTCATTAGCAGCAGTTAACAGTTCAAGGGCTGGGGGAGCAAGGTAGGACCTTCCCGGCACACCCTGTGCCCACCAGAGCTCCTGATGGTGTAATCACAGCAGCTGGCATTTCTAGAGGGTTTTCAGGTTGGCAAAGCATTGTCCTGCCATGCCAGCTCCAGGCCCTCGAGGACAGTTTCTCAGCTCCCTTCACAACACCTCCTCCAAGAAGCCCAGCCTGATTGGCCAGGTGCTAAGCACGTCTATCCTGTATTGACCTACTGCGTTTCCAGTCAACAAAGAGTCAGCTGCTTGCGACAGGGCCCAATTCCCTCTTCCATTCTAGTCTCCAGCCCACTAATCAGTGGGAGAAGTGCTTACTCAGCAATGGGAATGGGCAGCATTTCCCAAATGCCACCTGGGGAGGCAGAGGGCTAAGACCTTCTCAAAGGTTCAGGGGACCCCCCTATTCAGGTGGGGAGACAGGCCCCAGTGGAGCAATCTGGAGAACACCACAGCAGAATGAACCATATCCTGAATACCCAAGTGCCAAAGGGACCGAAATTCCTCGGGTGCCCTGTCCTGGTGGGGAAAGCCCTGGACTTGGCATCTGGAAGAGGACAGGGAGGGCAGAGCCAGCTCCCCATCCAGCTGGAGCAGTCCGAGTCTCAAAGAATTATCGCTAATGGGCCACAGCACGGAACTGCCTCACCCAGAATACCAACAGCCTCAGGGCCCAAGCTCTGGGATGAGTGTGCCTTTCCACCTTTTCCAAGGGTGACTAACTCCTCCTTACAGGGTGCTCACAGGGTTCCTGTGGCCCAAGGAGGCCCTTGAACCTTAGACCAGAAACTCTGCCTTAAAAAGGGCCCCCAATCAACGAGGAAGCAAAAACAAAACCTTAAATTCCCATCCTTAAGAAGATACGTTTTGCAGATGAGGAAACTGAGGCTGGGGGATGAGGGACGCCAGGACTGTGACCCAATTCCTCTTAGGTTTGGGAGTTGGAACTGCCCTTTGCAATAATCTAGTCCAAAACCTTCATTTTACAAAGCTCTTCTCAGTCTCAGGGCCATCCTGTCCATTGCAGCACCCCCCCCCATCCCTTCAGATCAATTTCATTCTTTTCCCTCCTCCTTCAGGTCTGCCAATCACAATCGAAGCAGCTACTATAATAGCTCACTCCCCCGCTTCCCACAACTGCCAAAACAATCTTCCTAAAGCATAGATCTGACCCCTTCCTTCCCTACTCAAACACCTTTAGTGGATCCCTACTGCCCCCAGGACAAAAAGGCCTCAGCCTGACGTTTACAGCCCACCGCAATCTCTGTCTACTCCCTGCCTTCCTGCCCCTAGGCCTCCAAATTCAAAGTGCTGTTGGCTGCCCAACAAACCTACTAGGCACCAAGTCCAGATACGGAGGATGCCCACCTCACAGGTCCTGGCTGTGGGACCCTGGGCAAACCACGGCGCCCAGGAGTTTGTTCTCCTGTCTAGTTGGCAGCCCTAGGTGCCATGCAAAGACAAGCCTGTGCCCTCCAGAGCTGACCTGCCGACGGTTTGGGGGGGTGGGGTGGGGTGGAGACACTAGATGAGCCTCGGCTATAGTTAAGACTCTTTATACTATGCATCCACCGGGGCCCCTGGTCGTGCCCAGGGCTGACATAAGGAGGCAGCCAGGGTGCAGAGGGGTCGGGGCCTCTAACAGCTTACCGGAATGCTGGGGTTGATCAATCGCTTTTCCCCACGGCTGCCTGCCACTGATAAGCGAGGCCAGCAGTAATTATCCTCCCCGTTTTACCGATCAGAAAGCTTAAGGTACCAGGGATTAAAAAAGGTGTCGAGTCGGATTCGCGCCGGGGTGCCCAGACCCCCGGTCCCGCGCTCTTTTCACAGGACGGCTGCCTACGGGCCACGAGCCCCAACGTCCGGCCACGCCTCTCCACGTGCGCCGGGGCCTACGCGGTAAACCGGGCCAAACGGAAGCCACGGAAGCCGCGGCCGGCTCCGGACGCTCTGCTCTCCAGCTCTTCCCGCCTCGCTCCCACGTGGAGCCGTCGAGGGCGCCTCCGGGCCGGGGGCCTCGACCGCGGTCCGGCTCCGCCAAGCGGCTCCCCTCGGAGCCGGCGCGGCGGGGGGTCGGGGACGCAACGCGAAGTTTCCACTTTCTCAGCCTCGGCGCCCCTCCCCCCCGCCCCCCCCCAGCTTCCACAAAAGGCTGCGATCGGCCCGGAGGATACAATGTTTCCACTTGCCAAGCCTCGCGCTCCGAGCCGCCCCGCCCTCCCTCCCTCCCTCCCCGCCTCGGCCGCTCGCGCGGGCCGCCGGGTGGGGCACAGTGTTTCCACTTCCCGAGCCCCGGCAGCCGCCGCCGCCCCCCGCCGCCGCCGCGGCCAGGCCGCAGCACTCACCATCCTTGCGATCCTGCCGTCCGATCCCCTCCTAGGAAGAGCGCAGGCGCGCAGGAGCACAAGTCCTCTCGGCTCGGAAGCTTCACGGAGGACGTCTGGAGCGGAAAAGGCCCCGCTCGGGGCCCCGGGGAGCGAGGCTGCTGGGAAGGAGGGCGGAGCCACGCGCGGAGCCCTTGGACCCGCCCCCTCCCCTCTCGTCTGCTCCGTCGCCCCGCCCCTTCGCTCTCCGCTGCGGGATGGCACTGGCTGGTGGCCTGGGGACGCGGCGCCTCCACCTTCCGGGCTAAATATCGCGCCGGATCGTTGTGCTACTGATACATTTCTGTCTGTAATCATGCCGTCGCTCATTTACCCAGACCGCCGCAGTTTGTAGCGCTCTCGGTCCCACTTTCTGCCTCCTGGAGCTACACCCCAAGGGTCTGCTTCTCCATTACCATACTTCAAGAAAGTGGGAAAGGACCTTCGAGGGCCCCTGGGCCAGGGCATCTTAACCTGGGTCGGTGAACTTGTTTTGCGTTTTTGTTTTTTAAACATATACATGTCTATGTATATAACTATTTCCATACAGCACCAGCCTCCTTGCAGTTCCCTGTACGAGCCTCTCCCTCTCCCGCCTCCGCGCTTTTTCATTGGCTGCCCCGGTGCCTCCGAGGGAGTTGCCTCCCTCGAAGTCTCCGCCACCTGGCTTCTCCAGCTGCCTTCCAGTCTTAGCTAAGATCTCACCTTCTGCGAGGTTTGAACGGCCCCCCTAAAAGCTCATGCCTCCCCCCTGGGGATTTGCTCTAATTTAAATCGTAAGAATCATGTTTGTACGGGCAGCTAGGTGGGGCAGTGGATAGAGCACCGGCCTTGAAGTCAAGAGGACCTGAGTTCAAATGCAGCCTCAGACCAAACGCTCGACACGTACTAGCTGTGTGACCCAGGACCAGTCACTTAACCCCAACTGCCTGAAGGAAAAAACAAAAAAAAAAGAATCTTGTTTGTGTAGGGCATTCCAAAAGTCTCGTTTTACTGTCCTTAAGATTTTGGGGGACACCCCTGTAGTTGCTGACACATTCTTCCCACCCACCCTTTAGATTGTAAGAACCTTGAGGGCAGGTGTCACAGTTATTTGTCTTTTTGTATATCCCCAGTGCATAACGCAGTGCCCGACCTTATAGGCACTATAAAAATGCTTCTTGCCTTGAATAGAATTATTTTCCTTTGTAATTTTAAATATTTTACTGTATGCATTTAAGAACATGATTCTGAGAGCAGTTTATAGGTTTCACCAGATGGCCTGAGAAGTTGTTCAGTGATTTTCAGTCGTGTCTGACTCGCCATGACCCCATTTGGGGTTTTCTTGGCAGAGATGCTGGAGCGTTGTGCCATTTCCTTCTCCAGCTCATATTACAGATGAGGAAAATGAGGCAAACAGGGTGAAGTGACGTGCCCCGGGACACACAGCTAGGAAGTGTCTGAGGCCGTGCCACCCAGCTGCTCCTACCTGAGAAGGCCATGATGCAAAAAGGGCTGAGAACTCCTGACCTAGTCAAACTCCCTCAGTGTACTGATAGAGAAACTGAGGCTCACAGAGGAGGAGGGGAGGGACCGCCTAGGATTTCACGGGCTAATTATAGCAGAGCCAGAAGAACACTTCATAAATGGTGGCTCTAACTGATGATTCTAAATGAACAATGTTGCCTGTTTTGTCAGAATGGACACAGTAGCGGTTCTTTTTCCTTAAACCAGAGGAAGCCTCCCTTATAGGGGGATGGCGCTGGGGCCAAGCTCTAATCTTTTGTCACAAGACAGGGTTCAAGTTCAGGGCACACTCTGAGGGGAGGGCAGGATTAGATCCTGAAATGACTAACTTAAAAACCAAAAGTATCACTAAAACCATTTTGTTTTTTATAAAGAAAAAGAAAAACTGGCCGAGGCTTGAGACGGCCGCTTTCTCCCCAGCCACCAAGGCTGCCCTCCTGCCCTATCAGGTCCCCAGAGACCTTGCCAAGTCTAGTGGCTCTTCTTGAGGCTGTTTTTCACCTCCAGAGAGGCGTGACCTCTGCCCCAGAGCCTGGCTCAGGGCTTTCTGCAAGCAGCAAGCCCTCAGTGAATATTGGTGGAATAGAATGGAACCTTGCTCTCCTACATAATGGTTGTGTGACCTTGGACAGATCACTTGGCCTCTCCTGGCCTCAGTTTCCTCCTTTAAAAAGAGGGAGCTGGAAGCATGTCTTTTTCTTTGCATACCCAGCACCTAGCACCTAGTATGGACCTCCTTTGTACACCATTACCTCCCTGTATTTGCTTTGAATCTCCAGTGTTTTGGCACTTAGTAAAAGTACTTAATAAATGCTTGTCGACTGATTGGCTCATTCATTCATAGGGTCTTAGATTTAGGGCTTGAAGCTCTCTAAGGCTCGGCGCCAAGTGCAGGGACACAAGGTGGGGGGGGCGCATTTTGTATGTTGATGACTGTCTGGTGGAGAGAATGCCGAGCTTACTTTGTCGACTCAGAAGGGACCTGGTAGGTTCATGGGCTTTGGAGAAAAAAAGACTGTCATTCTCAGAGAATTGTGCAAGACCCATCCTCTTTGAGACACATGGAGAAGAAAGGCAGACTCGCATGTGTTTTCAAACTTTTTCAATATGTCGTCAGTTGTGCTGATATTTTTTTCCTCTGAAAATTCTATGTGTTATATGGTGTGGCTCTGTGGGAGGGATCCGTGTGATAACTATGATGATATGACATACAGAGGACACCAATAAACACTTAAAAAAAAAAAAGAAAGAAAGAAAAAAAGACTTTGGAAGTGAAGGACACTCAGGGAAGCTGGTTCCTCAGCATGTTCCTCACTAGGGACTCCAGGGAACACGGGTCTCAGTGAGAGCAGGGCCCTTCTCTCGGCCAAGCCAGACCTCATCTCACTCCCATCCAAAGAGCTCATTCCCTCTTGTGTATTCTGTTATGTTTGAACCTATGCAACTTCTCTGATTTCTGTTTGTGATGGTCTTTTGTGGAACGTCACTTGGTGGAGGGGCAGGTGAGCTAAGGGCTAGCGACCAGAGAAATGACTTTTTTTGTTCTGAACCTAAAAACGGTGCCCCTTGACCAGCAGAATCCAGAGGGGCAAGTGGATAAGATTCTTCCAGTCCAATACCCTCTCAGAGCCTGCAGAACACTGGCCAGCTTCAAGGCCCTTCTCCTGCTCCCCTCAGGCAGGATCCTAGTCTGCCTTGGAGAGCAGTGGACAAGATTCCAGAGATTCAGTTCTTTCCACGAGCAACGTCTCAATAGCCTATGAGGCCATGTACATCATCCCCAGGTAGCACAAACCCTACATAGACCAAATAAATTTGTTTTGACTTGTATTTCAGTCATGGCCGACTCTTCATGACCTTGTGTCTGATTGGGGGCTTTCTTGGCAGAGATGCTGGAATGGTTTGCCATTTCCTTCTCCAGCTCATTTTACAGATAAGGAAACTGAGGCAAACAGGGTGAAGTGACTTGCCCAGGGTCACACAGCTAGAAGTGTTTGAGAACAAATTTAAACTCATGAATAGGAGTCTTCCTGACTCAGGCCTGGCACTCTATCCACTGCCCCAACCAGCTGCCCAGATCAAATAAATACAAGGTTATAATAATATTAGCCTTAACCCTAAATGCCTCCAACTGTAACCCTATGTGCCAGGTACTATACAAATATTATCTCACTTGATCCTCACAATAACGCTGTGAGGTAGGTGATGTTATTATCCCCATTTCACAGATAAGAAAACTGAGGCAAATAGGTTACAGAGGGCAAGCAAGTGACTTGCCCAGGATCACACAGCTTAGTAAGCACCTGAGGTCCAATTTCTTGACTCTACAGATCTATCCAGCACTGCGCCACCTAGTGGCCACCATGCCCTAATAGCCAAGGAAGGGACATAGCCTGGTGTTCATAGAGCAAAGGAAAGCTTCAGTCTACTAGATGCATCCATTAAGCGCCCTTTGCTTCGGCTGCCTTCCAGAGGATAGCAAAGTACCCAGACACCCAAGGGATTATTATCCCTGTCCTAGATCGCAGGATGGACATTTGAGCTCCCCTGATGTTAAGTGGGCTCTCCCTCCCCTCCCCCATCGAGGGGTCACATTTGGAAATTCTGCACAAGGCAGTGTTCATCGTAGTGGGAGGTGGAAGGGACTCTAGAACCTGGAAAGTCAGAGTCAGGACCTTAGAACACAGACTATCAGAGACAGGAGCAATCTTAGAACAAAGCATGACAGCTGGGGGCCTCGAACGGCATATTAGGGCTGGGAGGAGCCTTCCAGGCTAGAATGGCAGAGGTGGGAGGGACCTAAGACTTAGGATGTCAGAGCAGGGAGAGAGCTTAGAACACAGGAAGATGGAACTTCAAATATTAAAGCAGAGAGTGACCAGAGGCCCCAGCATGTTAGGACCCAATGTCAGACTTCCGAATAGCTAAGATCAGGATGTCAGAGCTGGGAAGGCCTCAGAATGAGGCTTAGTGGCCATCTGGGTCAGGCCCCTCAGCTTCCTGAGAAATGATGACTTGGTGGGGAGGCAGGTGCCCCCGGGCACTGGGGGAAGGAGCAGCAGAGAATGGATTTGAGCCTTCATTTTTTTGCCTCTGAGTTTGGGGCTCTTCTGCCACATTTCACTGCCTCTCACCATGGGCTGGACCTCCAAATGCCCCACTGTGGTTCTAGAGTTGCCCCACTGCCCTTGGCCACGAGGAGTATTTAAAAATGGCTCCTCAGAAGAATTTTTTCCCCTCATTTGGAAAGAAGTCCCCAGGCCCTCCCTGCTGAGGCCACACTAGGCAGCTGACCAGGACCTGGGGTGGGGCAGCCCCTTTGTGAGGTGGCTTCAGTAACCTGGGTTTCTATGATGCAGTGATGACCCCGTGTCAAGCCTGAGGACCTGGGAGCAAACTGTTAACACCTCCTTTCTGTCCCTGTCCTCTGCCACAACATCGCCCACCTCGGCTCAGGCCTGACCCTTCAAAGTGCCATATGTTGCTGACGCTATTGGGTATCTGTGCACTGTTTGGACGCTTCTGGGGCAAGTCGTGGGAGCCCGTGCAAGCCCTCCTGACGGATGGCTGTGGCTGCGGAGAACCCCGCTGCTGTGGCAACCTCTTCATCTTTTGCCT